CCTTCATCAGGATAAACGATACATGTAGCTACCTGCAACCCACTGGTACATAAATTTATTCCGTTCATATCTTTGTAAAATATCTCTTATTCGATTAATTCATTGTCCATTGTTGCTTGTTGTGGGTTTGTTACAGTTTTTGTAGTTGTACTCACTTATGCCTGTAAAGTTTCCCTGTGCATCTAGTAAATTGGCAGTAAAATCTAATCAGCATGGGATATTTTATAACAATTGTGAAACCTGGATACACTTAAAATGCACTTCCTTAACCTTAACTGATTATCATATTCTTGCTGGAGATGCCATATGTGCATCAGTAATGTTTTTCCTTTCAATTCCTCAGAAGATGATGACTTTTATTTGACTGTTTTTGATATGAATAAGCATAATTACTCCTGTTTCGATACAAGCACCTCCCATACTGATTATTCCACTTTTGATTCCCAAGATGATGTTAGCAATGTGTTTTCTGATCCCAAAAATCATTTTAATTTGTTGAATAATTCTCAGTACTGCTCAGCAGATCAGTTTCCAAATATATGTAATCATGATAAAGAGGGGTTATCATTGCTCCATCTTGATATACGTAGTTTGACTAAACATTTTGATGAGTTAAAATTTTCTTAGACTCGATCAATTACAGTTTTTCTATCATCGCACTTACTGAAACATGGTTAAAAGTGCCCCCCACAGTTATTTTCATCTTGAAGGTTATGAGCTTATTACGAACAATAGACAGGGTAAAACTGGAGGAGGTGTTGCATTATATGTTGCTTGTGACTTTAAGTTTAAAATTCGTGAGGATCTTACTTGTTCTAACGATATACTTGAGACTCTGTTTATTAAAATCTCAGTTTCAAAGACCAAAGACATAATTGCGGGAGTTATGTAGAAGCCTCTAAGCGCAAGTTATATCGAGTTTTTAAACATCTTGTAAAATCAGTTAGTCCAAATGACCCCTGATAAAAAGGTTTGTTGTATTACTGTTGATTTCAACATTAATTTATTTAATTATACTGATTCTAATTCTCAGGCCTTCATGGATTTAGTTACTTCTTATTCATTTCTTCCTACTATTGTAAAACCGACTAGTATTACTGACAGTTCTGCTGCACTTCTTGATAATTGTTTCACTAACATTTTGCCATCTCCAAAATTAGGTATTTTTAGCAGATATTTACCAATTTTTATGATTATCAAGTCCTGTAATCCTGTCAGTGTAGGTCCGGATCTTGTCAGAAAAATTCCACAGTATCAAGATCCTTTTACTGATTTTCTAAGCCATCCTAATTCAAATTTATTTTTCTTTACTCCAGTAGATGAGAATGAAATACTTGACATTGTTAAAAATCTGTATAACAAAAAGAGCACTGGTCATGACGGCATTGGCATTTCTGCTATTAAGAATTCAATCTCTGCTATTTGTAAGCCACTCACATTATTAATACTTCCTTTGTAACCGGTATTGTACCTAGTCAACTCAAAATTGCCAAAGTTATACCCGTTCTTAAGAGTGGTGACTCTAATTTTGTTCATAACTATAGACCCATATCTATATTGACTTGTTTGTCAAAAATATTCGAGAAATGTGTGTATATCAGTATTGTTAATTTCCTATTTAAGTTTAAAAATATTGACCAGTTCTCAAAATGGATTTCGTAGTAAACATTCGACTATCCATGCAATTCTCGATTCTATTGATAAAGTTTCCATTGCTAAAGATAACCATGAACACACTCTGGGGATATTTGTAGACCTATCAAAAGCATTGGATCCTATTGAACATGAAATACTTTTGTACAAACTTTCTCATTATGGTATTCGTGGAACATCCCTAGAGTGGTTCAGAAGTTATTTATTTGAGAAGTCAATATGTTTCTATCGGTGGGTCTAATTCAGCCTCTAGAAATCTTGGTTGTGGTGTACCACAGGAAGCTATTCTGGGACCGTTACTGTTCTTGATTTATATAAATGATTTTACGAAATCGATGTATTTTCAATTATTTTGTTTGCCGATGACTCAAATTTATTTACCTCTCATAGAAGCATTGACACCCTGGTTGAAACAGTTAATTCCGAACTTAGCTCAGTTTGTAACCGGTTTAGGGTTAATAAACTTTCACTAAATCTTAATAAAACTAAGTATATGCTGTTTAGTAACTCTGCCAGTGAACTTCCTGATGGGGTCAGGATAAATAACTTCAATATTGAGAAAACGGATTGCCTTAAGTTTCTGGGATTGGTAATTGATTCTGGGTTAACTTGGAATAATCACATCAATTATCTTTGTCAAATTATTAGTAAAATATCGGTGTCATTGCTAGATTCGAACATTTTGTTCCTTCTGATGTCTTATCTTCTTTGTATAATACCTTAGTAGTGACATATCTTAACTACGGTATACTCGCTTGGGGAAATTGTGGTGTTAATAATATTGCTAGGTTACTTCGTCTACAAAAACGTGCTCTTCGCACAATAGACTTTTCTGATTTCAATGCACATACTGATCCCCTGTTTTATAAACATAAGACCCTGAAAGTTAAGGATATTTATCATTTTCAACTTGGTTGCCTCAGGTATCAATCTATCTCAGATATGTTACCTTGTTCCATTAATTCAATTTTTATGTGGAATTTGGATGTACACACTCGTCTTACCCGGCAAACTCTTTGTTTTCACCTCCCATCAACTCGTTCTCCTTTTGCACAAAAAACTATTAGATATGATGGTCCAAAGCTATGGAATTCATTAAGTGATGCATTGAGACAAAGTTAAAATGTGTCAACTTTTAAGCGAACCTTTAAATCCATTTAATTGAATGGTTATTGCTGATTTCATTAGTTGCCTTACATACACTTGATACCTCATAGTCCTCAAATTGGCATTATGTACGGTCCATTGTTTGTCCTCGTCTGTATTGTGTAATATATGTTCTATGAGGTAACATATTTATAAGTCCAGTATTTGTTTTGAACCATAATCACTTTAATTGTTGATGATTATAATAATTATATGCATGTTGTATTTTGGCTCAAAACGCTCATTATATGTATGTACAAGGGACCCATATTCACAAGTTTAGCTTCTTTTGGGCCCCCCTCAGTCTTCACTCTCTTGTTGAATCATTTTTGTAGATAATTATGTACATGTATTTGTGAACAATGTGTAAATAAATGAAATGAAAATGAAAATAAAATGACCTCCAAGGAACAAAGCAACGCCGCATCTCCTCCACGAATCTCGCCATCACGTCATTCCACCACCATGTATCCCTGTGCCGTGGCGGACCTCTCGTCCACCCTCAGACATCCTTGGTGGAATGCCTAAAGATATCCCGCACGATACTCCACCTCCCATCTATGCTCTCTGAAAAGTACAAATAAAAGCCAAGCCAAGCAAAAATATCACTCATTGCAGACCATTCTCTTGAATGATTAAATTACAGGTACTCTAGGCGGAATACTTGGGAATCACTTTGGCTGTCGGATTGCGACCTTGATTGGTGGTGTGCTCAGCATAGTGGGAATGATAGGTGGCGCTTTCGCTAAAAATATCTACCATATGTACGCCATGTCCGCAGTCGTTGGTGAGCTCATTTTCCTCGACATTTTCCTAACTGAAAAATCTATTCAACTCCTCCGGAAGTGCGTACAGGACGGTGTGGATTCATTTCATCGGACAAATCGAAATACCGTGCACTCGACTTAAGTATCTTTGCAAAAGTTTTCAGTTTAACATTTGACTCTATATTTAATATCGGTCTTTGACAGTGAGAGAACGAACTAGGCCTAATGGGGGAATTTCTTTATTTGTGAGTTGGTGTTTTAAGTCAATATTTGTGGTGTGTTGTTTTCTAGGAATTGGCAATGGAGTTGCCTATGCGCCAGCAATTGTTATAGTCGCTAACTACTACGACAAACGCTATCCACTGGCGTGCGGATTTATGTCTGCTGGACAAGGCCTTGGATTGGCCGTATTTGGCCCATTCATTCAACTTCTGATCGACACCTATGGCTTGCGGGGAGCTTTGTTGGTAACCGGCGCACTGATTGGAAATGTCTGCGCTGCGGGAGCTACCTTCCGTCCCAAGCCGCCAACCTGTAAGAAAGAGACAGTTCCTGCGGATGAACAAAGCGAGGAAGAACTTAGTGCGCGCCAGGATGTTTCCAGAAAATCTGCACCGAGAAGAAATCCCATGATGCGTGTATTCTACAGGGTATCCAATGTCCTGCGGCTCTACTTGCTCTGTCAAAGTTATAGGTTGGCAATGTTTTGCTTTGCCCAGGCAGCCTACATCTTCTGTTACGAGTCCTACGTCTTGTACATCGTCCCCCGTGCCAACTCATTTGGCATTGAAGACCAAAGGGCTGCTTTTCTTATCACTGCCTTCGGGATTGGCAGTTTGGTTGGGCGTCCTCTTTGCGGACTTCTAAATCAAAAGGTGTCATCCATGGTCATCTACCAAGCATCGATTCTCACCAGTGGCTGTTTTGTTCTGCTAGCGCTGCTAGACGCCTACCCTTACCTCGTCGTCTCTGCCGTCATGGTTGGACTTGCATTTGGGTTTGAGATAACAGTGAACCGTGTGATGATGCGTGAGTTTGTTGGCGTGGAGAATTTCGGCTCGGCTATAGGACTCTACTCTGCCTTCGGAGGTGTTGCTGATCTTATTGGACCTATAGCAGCAGGTACACGTAAAACACCAAAACAAACATATTAAAGAGAACATTTTGTTGAACTCTCTAACTTTCTCATTTTGCAGTGATCACAAATGGGCCTATTGTGCTTAATACATGTATTACTTTAAATTATAAAACTCATTACAATTAAGTGTATTTGTACAAATCCAACAAAGTTCGCAATATTTCGTAACTGTAGACCTGTCCTTCGTATTCTTAATTAAGCATGTTTCAAATCTTCTTTTACTCACAAAGAAAAAATGTATCAAAAACCTCGCATAAAAGCTGCAGTTTAGGTGTATGATTTTTCCTCACGTTCAGGTGCCCTGTACGACGTCAGTGGAAGTTTTTCGCTTCTTTTCGGCATTCTGGCAGTGTTTTCATTCGTAGCATCCCTAGCCATGCTATCAACACCACTGCTGAAGAAAATGGAACCGGGCGTATACAGCCAGGTAGTAGTGGACAACGTTTGACAGTTTCGACAGTGTTATTTCATTCCAGAGGTGTGTACATTTCCATCTGTCCCAGGCTTAAACCAGTTTCATTACACTGTTGACTTTTCGTCGAAGCAATCCATGTTATAAAGCAGTTATTTACCTACTGCGCAACGGTAGCCCTTGATTCCTTGCGATTTGATTTTATAGTTAAAGAGTAAACTTCTTTGAAGTTAAACTGTTGGGTGAGCAAAATTAAAAGCGCCAAATTTCGCTATTGAAAATACCAAAATAGACACTACAGTAAATACACTGGCCTACTGTCATGAGCTAAGACAACAGTGATCCAATGTGAACAAAATCTGGGGCCACAAAATGAGATTTCCTTCTGGAGGACATAAGGATTTCGCTTTTGAATATGAACATTTGAAACTACAAACCAAAGCAAAAGGGAAAGCTGAAAATCAAGTTAAGTGGAACATGTGGAAATAGAACTGCCTTACTACAAAATGACACTGACCGACCCTTCAAAATTTTATTTCATTAGCATACCTTGTACAACCCAAGCCGTAATGCTAACTAAAGCTCCACGGTGCGTTCCACTAAATGGTTGTATTTCAGCGCGCGAGCTCATTAATATTTTGTGATCCCACGGGTTTTTTACAATAAGATATTCCATAATCAGGAGGCATTATAGAAATATTTCTATAAATCCCGAATTTGGGACTGAAAGTTTCCAGTTCAGGTATTTCTTTTGCAAAAAGCCCCAAATAGCGAACCTATTTTGGATAGAGGCGGGCGGCTATATTCAGAAATGAGCGCTTAGTTTTACTGCTGTTTTGGGGGTATCTTCCTCGAAAGGCGAATAAAAAAAGATTTGTGAAATTCAAACGAAAAGTAATCTTCTGGCCATAATCTTGAATTTCCAGTTAAAAAAAAGGAGGCCAACCTCTTCACGAGAGTCAACAGGCGGCGCTATTTCGGTCTGATTTTGCACTGCTTTCTATGGGCGCGTATTTGGTGTCTTCCAAGTCCAATACGGGCCATTCACAATAGTGCGCCTCCAAGAGTTTGCAACGCGTTGGCCAACACAATGCGCGACAATCTGTCGACTTTTCCAAACGCGCATTGGGTTAACAGATTTTGCGCATCGTGATTGGCCAACGCGTTGCAAACTCGTGGAGGCACACTATTGTAAAACGCCAATATTGATCAGCAACAGCGAAATTTTTATCAGCAAGTATTAGAAAGATAATGAAAAAATGTCAAAAATTTTTGTTTTATTAGTTTTCATATTTACGTTCACTCTTTTCTGGAATAAACTTCCTATGTTTGTACAGTGTTCCGTTCTTGGTTTGCTAATGTGGTGATGTAAAAGCTCAAAACACGTACGTATTACAGGATGTGCTTTAGGCCTACTGGTTCAAACCGCCAGAAGTAATTGACAGAGAACGCAGAGAGGTGGCCAGTCTATGCCTACCGGCCCAGTGCTTCCACTTCAAGTAAATATCCTCGTTCTGAGGGAATTTGTGCTTTGGAAGGGTTTTTTAAGTAAATGAAACATCAGGAAATTTGCAGGAAATTCCCCAAATCTAAAAATTCTAAGGATATTCATAAAATTACATTCTCTAAAATATCAAACATTTGTTGTTTGATTGAATCAACAAATCAATATTGATCTGAATCAAAGTACAATAGAACCTACAGCGCATGCTCAAAGATGGTCTCTTACAGTGAGTTTGTACAAGTGCTGCAACTGACCTCGAAACAAGATAAGTAGTACTTCAGGCTTTTTGGTTGTTAAAGAAATAAGGAAATTTGGCAGATGATATAGAAATTTCGCTCTGGATAAAAGTAAATTTGAATTTTGACTACGAAAGCATTGTACCGGTCAGATGGTTTTACCGCAGGCACGCTACAAAGCAGTCACATCCGATTTTCAGAAGTTAATTCACAGAATTTGATCTCTTGGTTTATGTATACTTCAATTATAATTTTCATAAATTTATTTTGAGGTTGTTCTGCTTCTACTTACAGTGAACGTGTTTCCAAAAAATTGCCTTACTACGCAACGCACAGACGTCTGTTGGCTTGTTTCTTCTTGTGACCAGCATTGTGCATGGTGACAGTGCAAGACCTTAATTTTTCATTATTTAGAGACTTATTGACTTTATTTTCTACATTATTTCAGGAAAACTCTGAATCCCTTATGTAGCGCAAATCAAAATAGTCCACGCAGAAATTCACGCATAATCGAACATAGTAGTAACATTTAAGAAATTCGTTAACTTTGATAAAGTCATTATCACATCCACTCACCATCCACTCACATACCCAATAATTCAGAAAGTTTGTAAAAAATTACTTCCTCATTTTGGCAGAGTTCATCGTGAACTTAAAAAAAAATCAGGTAATCAGACCAAAATAAAATATCATCGGATCTTGCAGCAAGTAGGTGAACTCAACATTGAGAGATTGATGAAATTTCTCACAGTGCATTAAAGGCAAAACCAAAATGCCCCACGTTAGGCAGCCGTGCCAGGTTAGGGTAAACAATATTGAGCACGAAAAAAGGGGTAAAATCCGACCTACCGACCCCGATTTTGAAAGGCATGTAATCAGGAAATTTGTTTTTGGGGCCAAATGTATGGTTTTGGATGAAGTTAATAGGGCAATTAAACTTCAGCTCCATTTCCAAACAACTGCTCCCCCAAAACCTTCAGGTTAAGTCTATTAAACGTTTTTAAAGTCACCTGGAACTGACACAAATAAAAACGAAATGTTGTTAGATATGATTCTTTCCTTGTTTCTCTATTTCAGTATGTCGACATTATAATGATATCGAATCTCGACACACTCGCTACACTAAAAGGTAGCTTTCGGACTTATAAGTAAATTGGCCAAAACAACGCAGCCGTTTATGGCAAGTTAGCATACATGCATTTATTAAACTTGCCGTGACTCACTCTCATAGTTCGTTGTAGTGGGAAAAGAATGATAGTCGGGAAGAAGTCGAGTCTTCAGAACTAAATAGAATACTTGTAGTCATTTTGTGCGAAAACTTTTCACCACAATTTCTGGCAAAGTTGGATCGTTCCTACAGTATGTGTTAATTCTAAGTGTTGTGCAAAAAAGACAGCATTATCCACCCTTGAGCGCAACAGAAGCATCCTTTTATAGGCTGGTAAGAGCCATGTCTGTTGTATTCATCATTTTGTTGTTAATGACGCAACCGTAACGCGTATATTTCTGAGTCTTTTGTGAACCAGCTAAGTGACGTCACCGACCGAAGGGTAAGTTCGCTTGCAAACTTAAGTTCGACCAGTAGTCAATTGCTTTATGATGCGCACGCGCATTGGAACGACCCCGTCGGCCTATTTAAAAAAATATCTCATCGTTACTCACACTTCACTGTTGGGTGGGAAACCCGTTATTGATAACCAGCGATATGACCATGCCATGGGGTCTTGTTCCAAATGGTCGCTTAGATAGTCCAAACAATCCATCGTTCGGGCAGTGTTAGTGGAACTATAGTTGACTACAGTCGTGCTTGAACTTGCCCGAAAGAGCCTCCGTTGCTGGGAGATACGCCCTCTCTTGGTACAGGACCTCAGGGCTCATCAAAGAAAATGAGCTGCGGTGACCAATATAGCCTGAAAGTTGACCCCTTGTGTCGCGCATCCTAAACCGTAGATTGGTAACAAAACGTAAAACAGTTTCAGAATTTGCGTTTTTTCTCTTCGTTTTGTTGGTTTACCTCTGAAAATATCACGTCGGAAAAGGCCTTTTAAAAGTATTTGCTAGCAAAACTGAAAAATTACATGACCTGAAAGAGAAATATCCTGCTAAACTTTGACCTCTCACTTCCAAAGATCTAACATACATGAAGACCAGTGAAATTTGCTGGTCTCTCACTTTGATGAACAGTTACAAAATTATATTCCATAGTAGTCTTTCGGTAAAGGCTTAAATGAAAACCTCTAACCTCCAACCAACTACCCCCCCCCCGAAAAAAGCAGCAGAAGAGTGGCACTCTTCTTAGCTATCATGAAACTCGGCCAGACACGTAATTTTGTTGTATGTTATACTTAAAATTTCGTCCACCCCATTGATAATTGCCCCCAACCTTCCTGTGACAAATATGCATGCTCAATTCATGCTTTTGACCCACCCACCTACGGAAAAAATTCGCGTCCCGCATCACGTAGAGATCATAAGTACAACTATTATTAGGGCATCCTGCTATGTATCTTATATCTTTTTGACTTGAGTGCGGGTAGAAATAAAAACTTCCTAACAAAAAAATTGATACTACTGCTTTACAGATTACTGAATAAACCGGGCAAAATGCATTATGCATGCTTGTCACGTTCTTATATTCAATATACCATGAGTGTCTTTGTACAAAGAAAAGATTAATCGTGAAACAACATTATTCAATTTTTGGGACACGAGTCATCATTACCAGTGAAGACAAAAGCTATCATTCTCTGCTTTCACCATGCACCTGTTGAAGAAGACTACGCAACAATTTTTTCTAAATATGCACAAGCAAAGGGGTTTACGGTCCACTGCTTTTGACCGTACTCAAAAGCCTGGATGTTTACAGCACTCTGATGCCCCTCATATCGTTTCTGTACAATCTTACTGCGCTTCCCCCGATCTGACGTTTTTTACAGTGAGCATGACAATCTACCCTGTCCTCAAATTTCTTTGAATGATATTTCCTATACTTGTAAATACACCCCACGCAAGAAGAACGCAGCAAAATCTTCCTATCTTCGTCAAGCAAAAAACAACCCTGCAAGTCATTTTCATACAATTCTGTTTCATGAAATCTACTACTTACACCAATAAGACACACGCAACATTTATCCTTTTCCGTCGACATTTTCAGTCTTAAACAACTGGCAAGTTTCCCGGACGATTTTAGGCAAGATGTTCTATAAAATTGGCAAGTTTGGTTGACGATTTCTGGCAAGATGTCTTGGACGGCAAGGCTGGTTTGGCAACAGCAACGTGTAGTCAAGGACCTAGAATCCTTCCAATGCTTTGCTATAGCGAGATGCAAAGAGAGGATGGCACCATTCTATTCGAGCAACTGGCCTGTCCGCCTTTGATAGTGTGAGGGCACTATCAAATAAATACCAACGGGGCAGCCTGGGGGTGTGGCACTTGCGTTGATACTGTCCAACAAGAAGGCTGGCCACACTGCAGTACGAGACTTTCGTTTTCCTCCACCCGCCCCACCTACCAACACTTAGTTTTAGGTCATTTCGAGGAATGAACAAATAAGTAGGCGTGTACTAAAGTTTATTCATCATCAAAAACAACCGCAGACGATAATTAAGATGAGCAAGGCTCAATTACTTGTAACGGTAAAATGATGTTTTGTAATTATTCAAATGAAAGAAGAAATATGTAATGGTTAATTTGACAAGTATGTATTCCAAAAAACTTAGTTTAACATTTAATTGTATTTATTTACAAATGTTATATATATACATACAAATAAAACAAAATCTGTGCACTCCTAACCCCAGAGCATCAACATCAAGAGAGCTGTTTGGGCTTTTAATTTGTGACTCGAAAACCCATAAATATTGTTATTGGTGCACGGCAACACAGTACTTGAATTTTTAATTCTTGGAACTACCGAAACCTGTTGCATATGTAGTTTTATAAAAAAAGGTTTTGAATAAAACAAAATGAAAAAATTTTGGAACAGAGGGTACGAGTCCTCTGGAACTATGCCGTCATAAAAATAGTTTAAATATAAATACAAACTGAAAATATAGGACAACCACGACGTGACGGCGCCAGGGCGGAGGTCGCCACCCATGACATAATAACGAAGCGCAGCAGCAAAAATAAATTTGTCTTAGTCTCAATCTACCATGTACTGTCGGGTATGAAAGGCAGTGTGTCGGGGGTTTCCATTTTCAATATCAGTGGGCCCTATTTACTTTTTCACACAAAACTTGATTTCATATAAAGTTTTTTGTGTCACATAAATTAAGTAAAATAGGCGTGTATATTTTTACCCATATTGGCAGCCAGAAAATACCACACTTGACTAAAACAAGTCTATTTTGAATGACTGCCGCTAGGTACCATGCCTCTTTGCAACGTCGAAACATGATACCACGTTCGGGTAGTGTTCTTTCCTTTTTATACCATTACCAAATGCATTAGACCGTTGATGATCAGTATATATCCAATCAGAATTCAGGAAGAAAACAGAGACTTCCTATTCAGAATGATGTGTCCAATCATGTATGCGCGTCACGAAGTGGAATGTTGAATATTTAATTGTGGGCAGGGAGGAAGTATGGTGGGCTGGAAACCCTGAGACCCTAGAAGACATTTTCACTTCTTACAGGCAAAAGAAAATTCAGGCTCTTCAACAAATCCAACCTTCCTCCTATTCTCACTGTTCCTGTTTGCATTGTCTTACCCAAATCATTTTTGGGAACACTCGTGTCCTTTTTTTTAACTTTAGCTTCCCACCCCCGCCTTATTCTTTATCAAAGTACGTTCATCCAACATATGGGTGTGCTCTAGAAACAACCAACTGTACTCTTCTTACCGCTTAAAAACGAGCCACGACAGTATACACCTCACACCCACGGCCTAGGGAAGACACATACACCAACCCTCACGGTTTCCCGTAACCATGTTGGGGGCAAAGATCGTTTAGCGTCGCGAATAGCATAGACTTGAAACCAAGTCGGTAATTGGCTGAGTGTAGTTCCCCTTCCTCGCGCGATGCGTACACGATGTGGTCTGTCGAGCAATTTATAAACACTTGGGAACGATCAGTGGAACCCCACTCCCCAATATGCGTGTCCGACGGTGTCCAATTTTCGACTTGAACAATTTGCAAGCCCAGCTTATGGGGCTTGCTACCAAAATTGGACAGAGCACTCTGATTGGCTAAGAATCCCGATAACATGAATATTTATTTCATGGGCAGTTTGATTGGTCAGTTGAACAATTGTTAACAACAACCACAGCCTCGTTCATTGAAGAGGGTGTTTACATTATCCTAAAAAGATGATTTGCCATACAAATGTAGGAAAACGTGTTTTAGGGGGTACCATAGTTTATTTGGCACGCCGCCCAGCCCGTTAGAAATGTTTAACAAATTCCCGCGAAGGAAGTGCGGTGGACCGTCCCGTGCGAGTAATAGTTATTATCTTTTCCAGTGTAGGCACTACAGCTGTTTAGAAGGCTTAGTCCACAGTCGCACACTGGCCTGGCATTCGTGGAATTTGAGGATTTTTGGAAATTGAGGAATTCGGGGAATTTGAGGATTTGGGGGAATTTGAGGAATATTAGGAATAAAGGATTTGAATTGTAATTGGTTGTAATCATACCTGGATATTTTAACCCCCAAAGTTGTCATGTAAATAAAACTCTGTATAATTGAGACAGTTACATTTGGACTCTATCTGCCTGTTTTCCTTTGCCTTGGCGTCCTTAAACTAATAATTTAAGCGGACCTCCTTAATAGATATCCTGTCATTACACAAGCATTGATTCTCTTACCAGAAAAAGATAGTTAAAGATTTGTTCTTGAATAGTTATGTATACTTTGTCTCTAAGCGTCGTATTAAAAGGGATATTAATGCAAAATATGAAAGAAGCTAATCAATTGTAGACATCCCTATTTAAAATAAATGGAAGAGTCTGTTCCGTGGCGTAAGCTACTATTGACGCTCTACATGGAAAGATATGAATCATGCAGTTCAGTAGTTGCAACATGAATATCTATCCAGAATTAGGTTGATCAAGTCGTTAGGCGGGCACAGGGGTCGTGGGCCGACGCGACGTGCACCAAAACCCGGTTCTGAACAGCCCCCGAACAAGGGCAGAATTGGTGTGGAATGGATCTCGGGCAACGGTGAGCGGGCTCCGCACTAATACTAAAATGACGAAGCATATGGATGACAGAACCGACTAACGACTTGATTTCAAGTCTACGAATAGCGCCGCTACGCAGCGCGCTATGTGGGGGCGGGGGCTTGTGATGGGCAGGTCGTGACCTGCAAACATTCCGGGGCAATCGAGGGGCAGACAACTACATGTACATGTGCATGTATATGCAAATAAAGTCTGATCGTGTTCACTGCGAATCAATCGCGTCCTGTGCTGAAATAGAACACAAAGCCTGGCTGCGAACACAAGTCTCCCCACAGACTCTGTAAACATTACATTCAGCCTCGCAAACCAGCGAAACGTGCAACTCACTGACACTGATAGTTGCGTGAGTACCAGTTATACTGGCGTGTTGAGTCAGGCACATTATTTTGTCATGCCCAGGAAAAGGCAACAGGCATGACAAGGAGGTTAAGGAAGAACGATGCTCCCCAAAGAAGGGTAGGAACTGCTACATCGATGAAACTGAAACCGAAGGCGGTTAAAGGGCCTGTGATGACAAAGGTAAAAATCATATTTTGAGAAACTGTCAAGTTAAAAAATTATTAATATGTTGTAATTTTAATAGCAATAATGTTGGAATTTCTAATCATGAGCACCCTGTTCTTATAATAAGGAAAGAACGTCCACTTTGTTTTCAAGATAATTGACATTCAGACCTTGTACATCCGCTCCTTAATCCCCACCGTTCTAGTTCAGGCAAATTTTGACAATATTGAAGTAAAATAAAAAAAGAAAAGAAATCCGCGTTCTGCGAACGACAACCACTCACTGGCGGATCATCCCATGTTGTTTCAAGTCTGGTTACCCGGCCCGGCCATTAATAATACTAAGATTCTTCGAGATTCATCAAAACTCTCTATTCAGGTCAAGGAACCAGACTACTCTCGCTAATTTGTTATCGGTCACTGCTCCTCAACGCGTCACCTATACGATGAAGTTTTCCCCATAATTTCCCTCAAAAACCGGGGCCCTGTCCACTTTTCAGAAAACGCAGTCTTTCTGATATGAAAGAGGACATCCCTGCTAATTTAGCTGGGTGAGTTGTTTCATAGATGTAGACTTTGTATCCTTTTGTAGGAACAGAGTGCTAATGATGAGGAACACCATAATGTCGATGCACGTATTTTCATGTAGTTGTTATACTAGGCTGGGTTTAATCGATCAGCTACCGTCAGTCAACCCTGGACGAAATCTCCAACACTTTTCCTCTTTAAGCAATCCTCCACAAAGATGGAGTAGAATACTGGTGTTGGCAGGTATAGGCGAATCATGTCACAACAGATTGCACAAAATAATGTCATTCCGATCGACCAATAGTGTCCAATAATAATGGTGACAGGTTCGTATGAATCTTTGTTGGCCATTATTGATCAATCAATCCATCAACAGGTCGAATCATTAATTTTCTGTGTAATTGGTTGAATCTTGGAGTATGAATACCATGACCTGTCCATTACTCGGCAATCCATTTTTGAAAGATATTTTTCTTTTGACTTGTCCCACGTCAACTGTCAACTAACGATGTCACATTACTTGTCCTTCATGAAGTCAGTGGATAGAGTTTAGGCCTACATGTACATTTTGAATCTAAACTGTTCATGACATACTTGCATTTGATAGTGTCCTGTGCCAACTGTGGTAATGTGGAAAGAGTTCCATGTACGGGCTTCACTCATTTTCCCCGTGGTGGTTTATTAGCCATCGGATAGGGATAAAAAGTTTAAAAGTCAAATTTAGCAGGGAAGTTATGGAAGCGTAAATATAGAAAATACTTCGACTTTTTTCTGGCCAGTCTCAGAGGGTTTGTGCACAAGGTGTTAAGTGATGTCCATGTATTGGGCAGCAACTATACATTTTCAGTGAGTGTTTTTTGGGGCACTTCTAAATTTTACAGAGATGAATCTGTCTGGTTCTATGCTTACATCTACATAGATTGAAATGGCGAATTTGACTTTGTGAAAGGGATTTGAGACCTGATAGAATTTCATACTTAATTTCCTTGAAAACCAGGGACCAGAACCCTAGGAAATATCCAGTAATTTAACGTAAGATCCAGTTTAGAACCAAGGAAGTATGACTTTGCGACTCTTGGAGTAAGAAGAACTCTACACTACCAGATTTTAACCCATCCCCTCGTATTCCAGCAGAGGAAGGTGTTGTACACGAATGGTGAAGTGCATGGTCATGATAGACGACTTCAATACTTCCATGTACGTGGCATCGGTTCCATGCTGGCTATATATTTGACTGGGTGTTGAGTGTCGATCCCGGAACAGTGGAAATCGATCGTATAATGTGTAGTTACTCACAAAGTGTTCCTGAGAGAACGCTCCAATTATTTATTTCCTTTCACAATAAGTGTATACACGAGCAACGAGATAAATATATGAATACTGATGTAAACATAAACACTCTGATACTCGAGAAGTTTGTAGCTAAGTTTATTGGGGATCATTTATCAGTCTGGGAGACTCGATGACCACACCATCGACTACTTACAAAATGGCAAGTCACTATTCCGTGTGAGTTGTGACCGTGTGACTTTGTAAATGGGTTCTTGACGCTAAGAGTTTTTGAACGCAGTCAAGTAATGTCAAATCGGGGTACATTCACGTTTTAAAACAATTTTCTCAACGTTTCTTCCCAAAAGCCGTCAAAACTGACACATATAGGCCTCCATATATGTCTGTTAATCTGAAGACTCGAGGCTTCAAGACCAAGGGATTGACTATTTCTTGAGAGAAAAAACCCGAGCTTCTACCCACCACTCTCTCGTTTTTCCTGACAAAAACAACCCAAACAATCATAAAATGCATCGTACGCGCATTTCAAAGGCACTGAAAGTGAAATTGACGGTCCTATGGTACGAACCAGGGGGGGACGGAAGGGTATTGTGCGACAGGCGCCCCCTACGTTCAAACTATTCTCATTCAGTATTGTGCAGCAATGGCGTGCCCATCCTTTGTTCCAGAGCTGTGTGAAGTTGGACCACGATCCACGAACAGCCGGCAATATTTTTATTGATAATTTCTTAATTTCAACTTTGATTTAGAGTTTTTAAACCCCCATGACATATTTTTATATGGGACTTTCACTTGTATCAGAAAAGTTAATTTTCGAGATGAAAACACATTTGTGATACAAACACATTTGTGTGCGCGGCCGGTTGTGCGTGCTGCGTCTCCACGTGCTGTGACCTTTGATCGAACGTGAAGAATTTTTGACTATACGCAAAACCAAAAGCAATGGACAAAATTTGAATGGGACGGATCACTCGTTTTGTATAACGTTGTGGAAAAAGGTCGTGATGAAGGGAAGTATTTCCTTTAAGCGAGTACAGTCGGAAGGTGAGGCCTTTACATATATATTTCAGGGGAAAAAACTCGTTGTTCAAGGTGGGAGTTTTACAAATTAAATCGTTGTTATGCATCAAACTCTTTCCACCCCCCCTACGGACCTACTCCATAGGCGCGCACGATTTTTGCGCGTTTGACATAGAGCCCGCTGAGTACGCGCAATGCTTTATTCTGGAATGTATGGTCTTTGCATCCACGCCGATCCGTGCAAGAACTTAGTCTTGGTTCCAAGCATATTCCACGACACGAACCGTCACACGATTAGTCTGACTACCAGACCAGATGAATCTGACTACTTGACGAATCAAGGGTCCGGTATCACCCAATGTCACGTGACCAGGACTGGAGAAATTCCTCCAGTTTTCCCGGAAATAGCCGCAATATTCCGAAGTCGTCCTGTCTACATTCTGCATGTTCGGATGGTACCGTTGATGTTCGGTTATACCCAGTTGGGTAGTAGGTGGGCTTCTTGAACGTAAACCGTCGACAATCATGCATTGGCATATAACAACAAAGTTACAAACAAATTACTTTTTGATGGGTGTGTGCGTGGAAGGAATGTTTGCTGAATTGATCATAGAATTTCAAAATGCTTATGTATGATTTTGAATTTTCTGAGATTTTTTCAAGTGCGCCTCCTTACTCAGGGGAACACGCAGCTGAATTGGAACCCACCATGTACGGGAATGAAATCGAAAACATCCAGGCTTTCAACTTGTGACCTCTGACCCTTGCGTTATACCTATATGCCTGACCTAAGATTCTTTATCAAGGGTCAGATGGAATTTCAGGCTATTCATAGTGAAAGACAGCAATAGGTGGAAAGGCTTGCGGTAGCACCGTGCGAAGGAATATATCTCTCTTATGAGTATGTGTGGTTCTGAAAAGAACCGGGAAGGTTGTCAGGGAATCTTTGAGCAGGGAACCAGACTATGCATGTACATGTAGAGGGCGGTATCAACTCTTGAATCGTTATCACACTAAGGTCTTGGATATTTTGTAAGGTCTTGGGTGGCAACAGATGGTTGCGAAAGTAGGGTATGCATTATTCATATCACGTGACTTGTGATCGGCGAAAATTACGCAAATGACTTTCCACAGGCTTCGTTTTTAAAATTTGAACATTGGCCAACATCATTGTGAACATATTACGGATGCTCATAGTTATTAGCACTCGCCAAATATCCTTCTGTAGCCCGGGACAACAGCCCAAATGTCGCCATGAGCGCATATAAGAAACAAATCGAGCCATTTTCAATTTTTGCCATGCCGCACCATACGGTCAAGATGTATGATGTTCATGCTCGCTTTATCACTGCGAATTTGGTTATTTTTTACCCCAAAACCTGGATATTTATATGGTAAACAATCAGCGAATAGTTCAATATGGAAAGTTGTTATAAAGATATCTATTGGCGTATCTCAAAGGCATGTTCCAACAATCTAAAGGTGGCATTTTCTGCGGAAACTTTCCAACGTCGAGATTGGTACGCCGAATAATTAAATATACCTGTAAGGCTCAAACGAAGTTGTCGATTGGCTGCCTTGGAAAGTCGAGGGAAAAGCAATGAAAACACAAGAAATGAAAACAAAATAGCCTAGACTTCCTATGATAACGATTCCCGTGAAAATAGCGCCCTCTAACAGTGTACGTGTGTGGTTCGTGTCGCAAAATAAATACTGGAAGGTCTTTGAAGTAAGACTAGCAGGAATCCGGTTAAAAAACTTCATACCAATTTGTCTTTCTTTCGCCGATGAGGGTGCACTTCAACTCAGGGCTGATAGTCCTAATTTAAATACCCCAAATATGGTGCGTTTGTTTAGCCTGTCACGTGTAAGTCAAACTTACACAAAAGGGTTCGTTTAGCCATCATCTGATCTTTGTGCCTGCCCTCCTGGTGTCCACCACCACTACCCAGCTAGCGAATAGGTCTCTGATGGCTACCTGGGTGTAATGACGTCCCTGACAAACTGTTCGAGTAGTGGTAGTCGGATCGGTTGCACCCTCGATCTTTTCAGAGTACAGACCTTTAATGTGCTGTAGATTATAAGATAATAGTAGAGTAGATTAAGTAAAGTAGACTATAAAATAACAAAATGACCAAATCACCACCAGCACTAAACTTTCTGTTTGCACAGGCCAGAAAGCAGAAGGCTGGAGATTCTCTTTCCAGCATCCCTTTTCCGATGGGTAGAATCACAAGGCTGTCTCCGACATCTAAGATGCGCGTTGTGGATCGTAAGTCAGTTTTAATTTCATGTGATCTTTTTACTTCTTGCGCTAAGAGTGAGTGTGCTAGATCGACCCCAGAGAAACACTTAATCAAATGACGATTTATGGATCTTTGTGTTGAAAAAGTTGGGAACGGTAGTGTCTCAGAAGTTTGGGTTGCATTTTTTTGTTCACCCATGTGTGAGAATTTTGTTTTTCACTTACATTGATTTGTAATTGTCCTTAGGACCAAAACACATAGGTAAAGATGTTGAAATGCATGTTAGAGACAAACGTCGTAAGACCAGCAAGAATACTTCTGGCAGAGTGAGGACCAAACCATTTGCACAGCACAGCAAAGTCATGGAACCTGCCACCCAGAGGGTCACCAGACTGACCTTAAAAAGGTCTTCCGGAGTGGAATCTCCTGAGGCCAGATTGGTGAAATCTACTAATACAGGCAGAAAACAGGAAGATGTTGGAGTGATCGCTAAGAAGCCCAAGACTAGAGTCAAGACCCCTGCAACTCTAGAGGTAGCCAAGCAGCTGATGAAGGGTGGAACTTTGACCTCTCAAGCCAAGCGGACAACTTCCAAGAAAGGTTTGTGGAAATTAAGGCCAGAAGTTACCATTTATTTACAAGAAGTAGGAAACGCCTTAACTTTGCATTTAACTTACCCTTTTTACTCTAAAGAGCTCATAGTGCAACAAATTACATTATTATATAATGGAAACTTCCCAAAACAAGAACTTGATATATTTAGTTTCTTGACTTTTTTGATCACCACGTTTAGCTTCATAAAAACTACCTTCTTCACTGTTTAAACTGGCTGTGAAATCCCAGGATAATTGTTTTCCGTGTAAAATTACACCTGTACGCCATATACGTGGCTTAACGACGTAGACAAACGCACTTGTGCTGTGAAAAAAAACGACGTGCCGTAAATTGACGTTTATTTAGGTATAGGCGAAGCCGTAAAATTATGTTGTTGGCCATGCTACAGTGAATCGGCGCTGCTTTAAAACGGAATTTTAACGAATAGTAATGTATTTCATTGATCGTTCACAGATATTTTATAGAGCGGAAAATGCAACACGTGCCTTTTCGCAAGCATTCTGTTCCATTTGATTCTTTCCTTTTTAAATTTTATTCCACCTTTAAAAAACTTTATTTCAACTTTTTATTTCATGAATTTATATTCTTGGACTATTTTTGAACGACAAATTTTTGTGCAATCGTAACATTTATTTTGCACACACCTATGGGTACATTTACATTCTATCAATTTACATTGCATCAGTGTGCAGCGCGTGGGAAATGGCTCCTTCATTCACATACCGATGTACGTGAACAGGTAATATCTTTCGTTACATTTTTGGAACCAGTCTTAGCTCTCCTTGCTATTATTATGAGTATGCACCCTTACGTCGTACTCGCTGATATGCAAAGGGAACCAGAAGCAAGAAAGCGCGCTCTGTATGCAAAACCATAACGTTGAACAAACGGAAATGTCGGAAATCTCCTCATTTGTTGCCCGGTTCGGCTTAAACTGGGTTTTCTTCTAGTTTCTGCGGAATCAACTGCGATTTTCGCTACCTGAGGTAGGGTTACACTTTTTTTGATAGGTTTAGCATTTTATGGTATTATTTAGAGACAGCTTAAAATGTACATTCCATTTGAAATTTGCCTTCACTTAGGTCGACGCAAGGCCTTAAGCGAATGCTCCGACTTGCAAACCAATGAATCAGGCTAATAGGGCAAGCTTTTGCTTTGTTACATAAGAGACGCATCACACCAATGGATAAGAAAGACTGGGAACAGTCTATTCCAGGGATGGTCACGCTAGGCAAAAGGATACACCAAATCACATGTATCACAGTGTCTTTAAGTCTGAGGAATTCGAGTTGTTACGTTTATGTGCAGTCGGATTAACAGTGTGCCAAATTTTATTCAAATTTAACTCGCAAAAGGCTTATTACATGTAAACCAGTTGTAAGCTAAAGCCCTTGTTGAAACACAGTCAAGTCACATATGAGTGTATAGCATAATTATCAGGGCACGTGTGCATGTAGATCAAAAGAACCAAGCTCTAAAACCATTCACCTCTTTCAATAATGCATTTTTATTACAGAGAGAACTATGTAACACAGCATGTGTATATGTAAAAGGATATTATCAAGCAGAATGTTAATTCAGCCTTACAGGATTTGATTGAATTTTCCATACACAGTACACAGCCAAACGAAAATATTAAAAGCCTCAGACTTGGCTGACGAAGCAGCTTATCTCTGCCTCAGAGAAATTTTGGTTGGCTGAGCTTCAAGTTTACTTAAATTTTTGTTTTTCTATACTCAGCGTCCCAGATTGGGTTAAGTATTGATTGATGCTCAACCACGGCATTGACAGTTTGGTTGGCAGTCACATTTGTAGGTGTAGCTGTGATCATGCGCCAACTTTGGGGTCCTTCTTGGTCGTAGTTAGCGTGCTCCCTTTTCCTTTTTCTCTTAGGCTGAACAGAACCGAAAGGTCTTTCGGTGGGCGGTCGCCTCATTACTGAAGGTGTACTTGAGGTGTAACCAAGATACAAACACGGATCTGAATGGTCTTTAGTTGGCTTGCCATCTGGGAAATGTTTTGAACATCGCGATCGAATGATTTAGCAATCCAGTTCTTGTTTGTTTTTGGGTCCATTCTGTTAACGAGCTTCAGCCAGCGTTGCCTTGCTGCCGGATCACGTTTTTCCGTTGGGAATGGAAAAAGATGAAACGGCGGTTCACAGTCACAAGTTCCCAGCCCAAAATGGCACTTGTGCTTCAAACGGTATTGCTGCTTCCACTTTTCAAAGTGAAAAGTACTATTGACACAGCAAAGAGAGAAACCATAGACTTGTCCATGCTGGCGTGCTTTTCCAGTGTTCATTGAATATTTGTCAGCATAGATATTTTGAGCCACACCCCAGACCAATTTAATTTTAAACACTGCATTTACAAGCCTATACTCAGTCATTCCAATATTACATTGTAGTTGTACTTTCTTGCAGATACTTCTTGGACCTAAACTCGTCTACCAAGGGGAACGCCAGCAGAAAAAGGTCTGCAGTCCACCCTGGAGTCCTCAGGCTTGCTTGGTTGAAAAACGTCGAAAAAGAATTGTATATGTGCTTGCACAGCTTGCCCCTGACTTTGCCTAATCTAAAAAAGATACAGATCCTAATCATTTTTCAAGGAAAGGTTAACCTACAACTAGTAGTATATTATTGCTAAGCACGAAACAAGACTCCTCATGCTACATGGGGAATGCTAAGTTACAAACTGTAACTCATTTTTAACAGGTTTGAGTACGAAATACTTTATTAGACACTGTACTACCCGATTGTTCATGACAATTTCCCCTTCTCTTTATCATTTAGTAAAAGCACTCTGGAATGTTGAAAAAGTGTTATCTTTCCGGATGAGGATGCAAAAACATAAAAGAAAGAAACAGATGGTGTATCATATTTTGAAGTGTTTGCCAACAGGAAATTTTGTCGTGGATAAGAATACAGTGCATAGGTTTCTTTAGAAAGCTGAAAAATTCGGCATAAGGCCAAGAAAGTCTCCGTTTTCTGATCAGTGCACACGTCACCCTAGACCTGCACGTCGGCAAAAAGTTTTTTGTTTGGTATAAAACGATGTCCAAAAGCTGCCAAACTTGCTTCATTGACTGGAATCCTGCTCCTGTGTCACCTGAACGTGTTTTTGATGGGGGTACGGTTGAGTAATATGTAAAGGGGTCTCTCTGATTTCCCATGGATACGTTTCGTCGGTTGCACTACAACGTGACGTGTCGTGAATAGTTTCAAGATACAAACTGACGTATCGTGTATACAAAGTCTACGGACGGTACGTCACTTCGTGGTTCACCTGTTGTTGGCATCCGCCTGTCTCGCGAGAAAATGAAGTATGTACCTTGGTATTGGTCTCTAGTTGAGTTGCAGCTCCTGCTTTGGCTATACACTCATGTACTGAAAAGGCAGGTCCTGTTGCAGTTGCTGCCAGTGAATTACGCGCCAAGCTCTGTGGGTACTGATGCTGCCCTCTGCAGTCTGCCCCCCTCCTCTCCTCCCACTGCTCTTCCTTCCTCCACTCGCCCCTCTGAACGCCTGCCCTGACAGTCTGTTTTCAGCTGCTGCGGTCTGCAGAAGCTTCCTCCCAGCTTTATTGAATTGATGTCGCCTGCCTTCAGATCACGTCATTGAGGCGCTGGGCAAGCTTTACAGCAGGACGTGAGCCAGTGACATGCTCACCACATAGCATGTCCTTGGGAATACGGCCATCTTCCATCCTGCTCACATGGCCAAGCCAGCGTATTCACCGCTGAGCAAGGACAGCAAACATATTTTGAATGCCCCTCTGTGTCAGGAAAGCCTTGTTTGGGACGTGGTCCTGCCATGTAATTCCCAAGACCCTTCTAATGGCAGCCCATGTGGAAGGTGTTGAGTCTGCATTTTTGTTGGACGTAGAGGGTCCATGTTTCACTACTATAAAGCAGCGTGCTGAACACGCAGGCTTGAAACACCACCATCTTGGTGTTGACGGGCAACATGGTGTTGCTCCGGACCTCTCCACAGCTGTATCAGCGACAGTGTTCTGCCCAGAGTAGAGTTCCTGGTAGTGTTCTGCCCACCTCTCTACTTGTTGACCACGGTCGGTGATGACATCACCTGTAGTAGACTTTAGCGAGGCGGACTTGGTGGCGGTTGGTCCAAAAGCTTTATTCATCCCTTCGTACATGGCTCGAATGTTGCCATAGTAAGCTGAATGTTGAATGCTCATGCAGAGGTTCAGCCAATAGTCGTTGGCGCAGCGCGCGTCGAGCAATCTGCTGGCATCATTCCTAGCTTTCCAGAGTGAAGCCAGTGTCTTCTCCGAGGGCTCCTTCTTGTGCCCAATCAACGCTGCTCTCATGGCTGCGAGTGCTGGCTCCAGTTTGGCGATTCCTTCCTCCAACGTGTCTGGGGTCTGCCTCTCTCGCTTGCCAAAGGTGTCCATTGTGAAGTTGTACATAACATCGCGAATGTGATGCCACCTCTCTTCAGCGTTGCCAGTGGGGCAATCTTTCAGGGCGTCCCTAAGGAGTCGACAAAGCACAAGTTAGGCACTGAAGTTTTGGTATTGATACGTGGGCGTCCTTTCTGCCCATAGCGGTGGATTTGTTTAGGCTGAGACCAAGGAATGGTCGGTGTCACAGTCGGCGCAGTGATAGCTGCGAGGAATCAATACACAGTTCAGCGAGGGTCTTTGGTTGATGATGAGATCCAGCTGGTGCCAGTGGCGTGATCTGGGGTGCCGCCAAGATATTCTGTGTTTTGCCTTTGTAGAAAAGAGCGGCTATGGCTATGGCTATGCAGAGGTCGTAGTAGGAGCATAACTCTAGGAGCCTTTGACCGTTCTAGTTTAGCTCGCCGACGCCAAAATGGCAAGTGCTTCTCGGCCAGGAGTCATGGTCTGATCCTACTCGGGTGTTGAAATCCCAAAATAGGCACAGATGTACAGTGGCAGGGATCTAGCTCTCTGATGGTGGATTCGAGCTCTACGTAAAACTCATCCGTAATCTCTTCTGAAACATTTTTTCTTTCTCGGATTGTACGTTATATTCAAATAATACCAAGTTCATAGCCAGATTTTGAAATGGCAAAGAAGAAACAATTTTAAGGATAAATTTAAAGTTAAAATTACAAAATAAATTCAGATTTTAACACTCCTGGTTAAAAATTGAGTTAAATTATTTTCGTCATAGACCTTACGTTTCAATAAGCAGTTAAGGTCAGAAGTAATCATTTATTTTGTTGTTTACCTTTTATCGTTCACCATCCAATATCCATGCTCCCCAGATCTGTTCCCTTTTTATAAATTTTGTGTTGGGCACTGAACTTGGAACTTGACAAGTACTACACTACCACATTAGTGTTTAAGTAATTCTACAAACACCTTTCCATTGAAAAAATTGTAATGTATGTTGAACCAGTTTTTTAAAGAAGTTTTGTAAAGAAGTTTTGTATTTTATATTAACAGATTGAAACCTGCCACAGATGTGAAGGAATTAACATATAGATTTCTACCAGTTTGTTAAACTAAATAATCCTAAACAACTTCTCAAGTGGAAGTCATAATTGCTTCTTAAACCAAGAAAATTGTGGTAGAGCTATTGATTTTGGAGGACAATCTACAAACCTGCCAGTTCCTCGTTCGTTTCAGTATTTCTTGAAGCGGATTTAAACATTGTGAAGTACATGTATGTTGAATTTTTGACAAAGCTAAATATTTATTTTTGACGATTTGTCAGTTACAGGGTACCAAGACTTCAATAAAAAAGAAAAAGCACCTGAGTTTTCTGTGTTAGTTGATGTCTAGGGGTTGTTTCCCTTTAGCATGCAGCTTTGTTTGATTTCCTGATTTAATGCCAGCACTATTGAAGGACTCTCATAGCAGTGGTTGCACAAAATTACTTGAGTGGGTCCCAACATTTTATACAATAGGTCCAGTGAACCCTCAGGTACACACTACTGGTTATATATATTCTTCAGCTAGAATGAGGGTTGTTGGTTTACAGAATGTAATGTGAAGTTACATTACTAAAGCAGAATGTAATGGGAAGTTACATTACTAAAGCAGAATGTAATGGGAAGTTATATTACTAAAGCAGAATGTAATGGGAAGTTACATTACTAAAGCAGCAACTTCTCAAGGCCATTACCGTAGAGATAGAATTGAAAGGCTGTAGATTTGCAAACGAATGGATGCAAATTTACTGTATGCCCGTCACATTTCTTACAAAGCATCGATGTAAAATTTCAACACGGAGCAGGTATCTGTTAACTCATATTTTTTACGTGTGTAATTTTGTAGTACCTAGTTTCTTTTACAGGGTAGTACTGGCGTCCAAATTGCCATAGAAATTGTTGTAAAAAGATTTTGGTTAATGTTTTTTTTTACAACTGGCCAGCTTGCCGTCTAGTAATAGCGAGGGGATCACTGGCGGCAGAAGCGGGGAGCCAGTGGTCCCCGACTTTTTCGACTGGGGGCCTCACATTTTGCAGGTCCTATAACTGGATGGGGCTTAATAGATCGATCCCTTAATGGCTGATGCCTGATGGTCTAATAACTGCCCCCATTTTGAAATTGTTCCACCGCCAGTGGAAAGGGACAAATGAATTTTGCTCAGACACGCTTTTTTGCATCATTGTATTTTTTAATGTATGAAAACTGTTCAAGCATTTCCAGATAAATGAGGGTGCTCTTGCTGTGATGGAAATCATGGAAGACTCTGTTCAGTTTATGTATCCGTGGTAATATTTTGAACCCATGTAAGCCACCTGGCAACCTTTTATCAAAAGTGTTTCCAGGAGCAATTCTTTTAGGCCTGCAACAAGCTATTGCCAAAGAATTAGTTAAAACAGCGAAATGTAAAATTTTTAGCCGTTTTGTGCACAAATCAAGTCAACAGTGAGGTAAAGTATCTGGGATGACGGTTTTGTTCATGTATATACAAACCTGCTTTAGCATAAAAACCAAAACTTAAAAATACAGATCAAGCTAGCAAAACAATAAAAGAAAATAAGATTAACCGAAATTAAAAGGGGCATTTTCAATTTTCCTCCTCTAAACCTGTAGTGGGCAGATTATTGTAAGTACAGTTATGCAGCGTACTGAAAACATACTCATTTGGAAGGAGGTCTTTTATTTATGAAATATCACTGTGAAACCAGTTTCCTGATTTGTTTTTCAAAACATAGAGTCAACGAGACCAAGGGACTTGAGAAACAGAACTCGAAAGACAACAAAACGTACCTCAAGCGAAGAGATGACAGAACTACCAACAAAGATCCGGAAAGTCATTAAACTTGACCCCCAGAGAGTCGTCAAGGTGAACTTACCAAGAGCTGCTAAATCTATATCTGACTCCAAAGTGGTGATGCCTGGAAAGCAAAGGACAGACAAGAAAGTAGCAAAAACCCTGGCCAAGAAGTCCATGTCTACGGCCAGGATTGCTGTAACTCGAGTGTATTCCAAAAAGCCTAAAGGGCAAGCTTCGACTACCGAGCAAGGTGTGTACACATTTTGGGGGCAGAATAATCCAGCCACGTTAATCCACAATGCTCAGGCTCCTAGTATGGTGGAGGTACTATTCCAGCTTTTCGTGGATTTTATAAGCAGCACTGCGCACTGTGCAAACTGACATATAACTGGGGATGGACACTTTGATCACATGCCTCTATTGACTGTAGTAATAATGGCTTAACAGGGATTTAACCTAGAATGGGGGCACAGATTTATTTCAGGATGCACTGAAAGCAACGTCGGGATGTGAAATGGAATGGGACACTTGAGGGCAGGATATACACCTGATAGTTATGCTACTGAGTTATAAACGTGTCTTTATTACTTCTAGATTTTTAATGTCGCACCAGATGGCATTACAGTGTCTACCGGTATTTTAAAAAATGTGGCTAGTTCCATTCACGATTATTCCCATTGTTTTGCAATTGTATTTGTTATTCACATTTTTGTTACCATGAGTATCTACTGGCTCAAGACCCAGCCCCGTCAAGAAAGCCGCTCACGGTCCTTTGACGGCGCCGACCCAATGCCAGAACTGGATACATTGAACAGAGCGGATTGACTGGAAGCGTGTCTAGTGGGGTTCACCATACAAAAAGGGAGAAAAAATGATAACAAAATATGACTAAATAAATAAAGACCCACACACAAGACACGATTAGTAAAACGTGTTGCAGTTGTTGCAAACTGAAATGGTTGATGGACGGTCCTTAAATTCAGAAAAAAGACTGGAGAGGTAACCGTTTGTATTCAACCGTATTTAGATCGTCGCAGACGCTGGGTAACGCGTGAACAAGACAAAGATAACAAATGTAACCAATGTAGATCATGTACGCAAGGTACAGTGACTAGAAACAGTACAGACTATTTCAAAAAGATCTGTCTTGTGAACACAATAAGTGTAAATCAGCTTGTAACATTTGCACGCCCAGACTGCGAGCATAGGACATGCAAATGTTGGTGTAAGGAGTGTAAGAAAAACTTGTGAATAGAAAGAGAGAAATCCTATGAAAAAATCCCACCTTTATCACTACAGGAAACATTATTAAATCATAAGTGTCACCAGAGTCGCTTAAAGAAGCAGACTTCAAAGACATTAGACGGTTTAAAAGTATTTTCACAAACTGGGAATTCATACCTCGATTTTTTAACAGACCCAGTGCGGGTTTTTAGTTCTCACGGAAAACTAGTCATCATCATCGGTTTTAAGGCCGTCGTCCATCTTCCGCACTCACACCCAGAAGTCTCATGTCGGCAGACGCGATCTCCTGCCAGGTCTTGCACGGTCGGCCGACTGGTCTGAACCCCTCCACCTCCAACCTCGTGCATTTCTTGATCCAGTTGGCGTCCTCCCGCTTCACGTGACCATACCGGCTCTCGGCCTCAACTCCTCACTTGAAACATGGTCCGACAGAGACATGCCGCACATCCACCGGAACATTCTCATCTCCACCCTCTCAATCGCCACCTCTTGATCCGCTTTCATCGGCCATGTTTCGCTGCCATACACCATAGAGCTCCGAACAAAGTCTAAGTAGCTTGTAGACCCGACCTTTCACCTTCAGGGGTGGCGACCTTGATGTTAAGAATGGAGCAAGCTCTGTGAACTTTGCCCGGCCGCACCTCACACGTGCTAATGCCGCTGCGTGCGCTCATCCCTCCTCGCTCAGCAAATCCAATTACCCAGGTAACAGAACGACTGAACGACACCGTATCTCTGGCCATCAATCTCAAGGTCTTCTTTAATCTCTTCCGGCTGTGAAACCTGACTCCGGCAGCCCTTACGACTATAAATTGAGCTCACCGCCTACAGACTGCCCCTCACTCCACTGCACCTCCTGTGAACCCACTTCCGATATGCTGTACACTGGACACTGGACTGAACCACACGGCCATGCCCCAGAGCTTGTCACCTCCCCTCTGCCCACGCGACTGACCATCACTTTGGTCTTTACGGCATTCACCTTCAGACCCTTCCGAGCAAAGCTTGCCCTCCATGCCGTCGTCTTGGCTAGGCTCTCAGTTCCTCTCTGGTCCTTGCCATGAGGACGAGATCATCTGTGTACAACACCTCGCAGGGTAGCCCTCCTCTCGCCTCAGTCGATACCACACGCACACGCACCGAGCCCTAGTGCACCCCAACATTTACCCCGAACTCCTGCTGTCACCACCCGCTGTCCTCGCCACCGTCTTCACCCCTGAGTAAAGCAACATCACCGCTCCCACCAACTGCTCCTCAACCCCCTTCTTCCTCATGGCCCACCTCAGCACCTTCCTCCAAAAGCCGAAGTACACCAGTCACTAAATGTTTTTTCTGGACTTGACGCACGGTAAAAATGGCATCTGTCGTCCCTTTGCCGGGTATGAAGCCGAACTCCACGTCATCAATATTCACCTAGCTACAAAGTCATGCCTCAAGCACCCTCTCCCAGACTACCATGGCTTCCTTGAGGAGCTTAATTGCCCTGAAAAAGCCACATTCTGGCAGGTCCCCCTTTCCCTTGAGGAGTGAACCCAGAATACTACTCTGCCAGCCCAATGGTATCTCTTCATCCGAAACAATGGTGTTAAACCGGGAGGTCATCCGAGCCACAGCTGTATCACCAGCCGCCTTCAACATCACCACAACTCCATATGGACCGCCTGATTTTCCTAACTTCGTGATAGATATCGCTTTGGCCAACTCCTCATGACGCCCAAGGCGACATCTGGATTCCTGAACAATCTCGCACTCCACGTCTCAGTCCTACACTTTCTCCACGTACATCAATCCTTCGAAAATACTTCCTTCACACCTCCTTCACGCACTCACTGTCAAAATCGATGTTGCCGTTCTTGTCCTTCACACAGTTGGTACTAAAGACGTCCCGCCGATCCTTTGCCATCTGCTTTGCGATCCAAAAAACTGTCTTCTCCCCTCCTCATTCCTTAGCTCCTCCGCAAACTCCTTCCTTTCCTCTCCTGAGCCCTCTTCACATCTCTTCTGGAGACCCGCTTCGCCTCGAGATAAGCAATCCTATCTGCCTCCAAACTGTTGCCCTCCACGAATCTTGCCACCAAGTCATTCCAACACCATGCCTCCCTGTGCCATGGCGGATATACCAGCGGACTGGCAGAGAAGTATTCTGGGTCCACTCTTCAAGGGGAAAGGGGGAGCCGCTGGAATGTGGCTCATTCGGGCTCACGAAGCCCGTCAGGCAAGCCATGGTAGTCTCGGAGAGGGTGCTTGACACGAAACTCTGTGGCCAGGTGAATGACATGGAGTTCCGCTTCATCCCAGACAAAGGGACGATATATGCCACATTTTTCGAAAAAATTCCAGTTCCTTATAAAATGCGATGTCATTCGGCTATGGCCGATGGTAAAATGACGTAGCTTGTAAAATATTAGGTAAGTCCTGGAGTACTCTGCTTCTAGAAAATCCCAACACTCTGTTGTTAGTTACAAAGATTATAGAAAATTCCAAGTGAGTCATTGCAAGTTAAATAAAACAAAAAAGAATGAACACAAACTAAGTCTTGCGCAGCGTTGACCCACGAGTGTCACAATAAAAGTTGGCCTCCGATTCACCTCAACCCCATTAGGCACGTTTTAGTCTCTCCGTTCAAGGTCTGAATGTCTGGGTTGGGTCGGTGCAAACCAAACACCGTGAAAGGCTTTCTCGACGGGGCTGTATCAAGACCCAGTAAACAGAGATGGTCAAACATTGGCTGATTCCCCCTACTCCCTGGCATTTTTTTTCAATACTATATTCCAAGATGTGCATCATTGTCTACGGATCAGTATAGCCGATTACTGAAAACTCCAGTACTCAGTTGTTTTCATTCCTGATCAGATATTTTGAGAATCCTTGTTTAGCGTTTCTATCTATGTTTCCACCTCTGTATCTGTGTCCGAATTAATACGACTAGACAGTGGTCCGGCTGTGGTGTTTTCCACAGTGATCATTTTGTGGTACTGGAGCACATCCTTGCCCAAGTTAAAGTTCAATCTTCATGACAGATGTCATAGTTTGGATCAATGTCAGATTCAAATACAGTGTTTAAAAAAATAAGAGTAGGTTTTGCTGGCAAATTTTAAAAAGTTGCCAAAATACTAGTTGAATACACATTGTTGCAGCTATTTACATCTCTTATACATTGGAAAGGACGTGACATGTTCAAGTGGTGACATTTTGTGATAATCATGACTTGTCACAGGAGCCTTGAATGTTCCTCTGTACCCATGGCATTTTGTTCAGTCAATGAATTTCAACCTTTGCAATTGTATTTCAGTTAAGAGGACTGCTGTGAGGCAAAATGCAAAGAGCATATTCAATTCCTCTACAGAAAAGGGAGGGGCTGCTGAACTTCAAAGAGGAGGTAAGAAAGGGGGAAAAGCGAGATCTGAGAAAGCCAGCAGCGTAAAGAACACAAAGGTTGTCAAGACCAAGAATGTCACCGTTGGAAAGCATAGTAGTCAGCAGACGAAGGCCGCATCCACCATCAAGAAAAGGGCCGTCGCAAGGAAGCTAGTGGTCAAGCCAAAGACATCCAATGCCAAGAAAAAACCCGTCACAAAGGAGGCAAAACAAAAAGGGAGTCTGGTGCCCAAGCCAAAGACATCCAATGCAAAGAAAAGGACCGCCGCGGGGGAGGTGAAGCAAAAAGGGAGGCTGGGGGTCAAGCCAAAGAAGGCAACCAACAGCAGTGGTCTTCAAATGAAGAAGAAAGTGGCCACACATCCCAACTGCACACTGACACCAAACCGGAAGATCAAAGTGGTTGACAAGGATCCTATGTTCGAAGTCAAGTATGTCACAGTTGAAGATTATGGTCGGTCCACGTCATGTTTAACACTTTTTACAAAACAAGCATTTGAATCCACGGATATTGAGACTGATTATGAAGTCTGTGTGCCCAATAAGCCTAATCCGAGGCTGAGTTGTGATTTGTATATACGTGTACATACGTGTACATACAAGTGTGAATTCTGAATTTCAAAACATTTACTAAAATGCATCTGAATGACATGACTTCCAGAAGGTCATACCGATAAGGTTTTGAATGTTTCTTGAAAAGGAAAGTTAAAGAAGTTATCGTGTGGAATGCAGGAGCTTGCTGCCATTTAGTTTGACTTTATAGTTTAATTTGTCTCAAGTCAATCTCCTTATTGCAAGTGAAAAGTAAGAGGATAAAAGCTGAGTTTTCGTGTATTTGTCTTAGGAATGAGAAGGAAATTCCCAAAGTGTCGGATTACGTCAACTGCAAGCGGGCTATCCGCGCCGTCTTGACCAAGGACAACGCCCTCTTGAAGAAACTGATCAATAACACCAAGGAGATCCCTTCCTTGTTCGTCTCGAGAAGCGTGTGTCTGAAGGATGACGCCCTGGACTATGCCCTGAAGACGGAGAACACCGATGCGCTCAAGCTGCTCATCGCAGAGAAATGTTACAACCGCGACAAGCCACGTAAAGCCATGCCTGACCAACCATCTCAAAATGACTTCAACACAAATCCACGGTTGGTTCAACTGTAAATCACTGAAGTCTGAGAGCCTGATATTTTGGTTTTGATAATAGCAGAATCTTTCTAAAATCTGTGTTTTGGAAGGAATATTCAGTTCATGTATATACAGGAACTGTATGATGAAAACCTCTTGCTGGTTGCTTTGATGCAGCATCATTTCTATTTTGTACTGCATTAAGGTCTCGTTCCTATCTTCGGCAATCAGCATTCTCGGCATTAATACATGTATTTCCCAGGAACGTGTATTACTTTCTAGCCGTTCATAATATAATCATTGTTAATCGATCTTCACATTTTATCTAGTAGCACTACAAGGGTATGTCTTTTATTTGTGTTTTCTGACATGCAATGTTTGGATGACGTGCGGCGTTGCCAACCCATGGAACAGTTATGGTTATGAAGGGAACAGTGCCTTAACTAAGGTAACAAACTGCAAATTAATGGTAACTAGAAGAAAGCAAATGTGCTGAGTAATTATTAACTCACTACCGGCGAAAAGCAGTGAGCCAATCCTAACCATCCCTAATGTATTCCCTAGTGTTAAAAATATTTTTGTGTTCATCAGCTTTACAAAAAGAAGCCAATATTTTGTAGGGTCAGGAGTTTTCATGGGGACTCGCTCGCATCCACTTCGTGTTGTCCCCTCTCTAATAAAGCAGCTTTCAAGGTATTTCGGGTCAAGGTTATTCCTGGAAAAATAAATGAGAACAGTTCTGGAGATCATCATCAAAAACTTCATTCGAAAAAGTTATCATAGTTAGAGAAAAAGAAACATTCAGTCTGAGTTTTCTGAACCACAGAAGTAAGCAATGTTCGCACGTAGTGCATGTATGTTAAACATGTATATATGTATGGAAGAATCTTGCCAGTGCAATATTCTGAGAACTACTTCACATATGGACTTCTCACACTAGGCTTTAGGATTGCATTTAGGGCCAAAAGGTCGAGGGTCAAGTTTGAAACAAAATATTTTGGAAAACTGACAAGGTGCTTACAAATAATGATAAATACTAAATCGATAACCAAGAAATGGAGTGGAGCGGGATTTGAACCTGCGACCTCCGGAACACGATACCGGTGCTCTATCAACTGAGCTATACAGCCCTATATGCTGGTGGTCCTTCCCATTTGTGGGCTCTTTAGCGGGGGGCACTAGTCAGAAGCCATGAAACTTGAAACACCATATGGCCATTGACCAAGCCCCAATTACACGATGCAACCTGGGGAGTAGTGAAGTTTGGATAGCGTTAATCTGCATGTAGATAGTGCACAGTTTTGTAATGTTATAGCGAGTTCGAGCGACAGCTTTAAACCTTTTTTTCACAATTGTGTAATGTTACAGCAAGTTCGAGAGACAACTATAGACCTTTTTCCTGTGACGTCACAATCGTGCTGGATCGCGATGTATTTGATGGTAATGAGTGCATAATGTTGTGATGGCAATATACTTATTCAAGATTAACTAGTCAAGCATTCAGTGGTCTTACGTGCGCTTGCATGTGGTTGAAGCTGCCCATAGGAGTGTATGCAATCACCGTTGTCACGGCGGTCCACACGTGGTGGTATTGTTTACATTTGGCGCAATCCAGTCACGTGGGTGAGAAAGGTCTATAGTCAACTATAGTTCGACTACAGTTGCCCCAACGATAGATGGTATGGCTCATCTAGACAAGAAACCCAGCCTTAGGGCATGTTCACACCACTGGTCATCAGTAGAGGATTTCATTTATCAGTCTGGAGGGAAATACTCACATGAGAACCAATGTCAAAAGGTCCCAGCCAGCTGCATAATGTTAGTAACGATGGTATTGTACTAAGTACAACACTTATTAGCTCTATAAAATTGGTGCTGGGGTTAACGGTGGAGGAGGGCCTGTGGAAATAGAAGTGCCCCATCCCCCTACACACTTCCCAGCCCCATTCGTTTGATGGGTGGCTTACAACTGGACAGTTTCTGTAAGTATCCATTCAGCAAGATGACGATTATATTAAGTTCCTCTGACAGAATCCGAATGTCTCGTACAATGGTTACGTAACATTGTGACCATTTCCTGTGTACAGTATGTGTGTTTTCTGTTCAATGTGAATGCTGGACAGTGTGAACGCCATTATTTTCCAATTTAAGTCCGTCTGTTTTCCTTTTTATTCAGGACATTGATTACATAGGTGGCACCAGAAACATGGTACGATTTGATAAAGCTTTGAACCATGGTGTGTCGATTGATGTAATCTCTCTCGTAGCCGAGGTGAGTTCTTGTTTGGGTGTAAACGCATAAGGATCATTGCACGGAGAAAATTGAAAAGGATTTATTAGTCTCATTCGAGAACGTTCCCCTTAAGCTTGAAACCGGTAAAAGTGAGTTATTGCGGTCATGGTTTTGTGCAAAGTTTGCACTCCTTGGAAAATATCTACTCGTCACTTTTGTCTCAGGACCCAGTAAATTTGGTTACAGGCAAACTTTTCAAGCTTGAGAAAGGAGCAGCCTTTAGGATACCTGAAACTTGATATCCCAAAGTGACCAAACTATAAATGCACATTGGTTGCTAGATCGATTGCTTAAATAAAATGAACAGTGTGTTAGTTTACAGAAAGCTTAGAATGCCTGGAATGACTGTCAAGATGCTAGAAAACGTGGCATGATAATTGAATAGCTTGCTGAAACACAGTGGAAAGTTATTCTTTCAAGGATGTGGTTCTCAGAGAAGAATCTTTGAGGGAAAGGTTGACAGTTCAAGCCATAGCTTTTTGTAATGATTTCGACCAATATATTTTACTACTTTTGTGGAAGGGTTTTAGATACGATTGTACAGGCAGGATTCATCGCGCTGTGAGGGCAGGCCACAACAAGTTGGCCTCACAAATGATGAAAAAATTCAAAGGTCGTAGAGGGAACGGCTTCATCAAACTTCATGAGGAGGTGGGGTGATAGTTATAAATGTTCCGTGCATGTTGATTCCCTACGCTGGAAATTTGAGTTGAATAAAAAAATTAAAAGAGCAATTGTATTTTGCATATCTAGTAGGTTCTAGGCTCCTTTGGAAATGTTTTTTTTTCTTATCTTGGTGGGTGTGCACGTACAGACTTGACAAAGGTAAAAGGTTTGCCCAAAAGTCATGAAATTCCAAGTAGGCACAATATGGTATGCAATACATTCCCTTGTGTGCATCTGAAATCACACGAGCATGCGTTTCGCTCGAAAAATTTATTTTAGTCAAGCATTTTTCTATATTTGAAAGCTTCCTTTTTAAACTTGGAACATTCGGAGTTGTAATAGCTCGAGTCAGTGACTCCACTCAAGTCCGACTCAACTCGAGTCGCTAAATTTAGTGACTCTTTATATCACTGGTACCATTTCAGAGGAGTAAATATTTGTTATAAAAGGATAAACTCAACCGACTCACCACAAAAAAGGAAAAAAAGATTATTATCCATAACGGTTTGATTGCTTGAAGTATTCCTAACGTTTATGCTCCTTCTGTGACCCTTTTTGTTTGTGGTAATAGGTTTTGTCGGCCACAAAGCCTGAACAGCTAACTTCTTTGAAAGCCGAAAAAGTCACCAAGGAATCCTACAAGAACCAAAGGGCAAGTGTACATGAGCATTGGAAAGTATTAACCCAGTTCCTCCCAGACCCATTAAAAAACACTGGGAGATTTTAGTGGATTAGACAGAATTGAGGAAGGAAGAGACGGCCAACATGTTCATTTCTTGGAGCTCTCTTTGCCTTGCCAGTTCCAAGTCAAAGTTAAACTGTCTTCTTGCACAATGGAGAATTTTAAGGATTTGAGGAGGTCCCTACACTAAAAATGTTTGATTTGCTGAAATTGGTTATCAACAATGGTCATGTTAATCGTGGAAAATTGTTAAATATTTCATGTAGGGTTTCCAAATGCATACATTTACAATAAAAATATTCAATAAATGATCAAATTAGGAGGAAGGGAAAATGAAATAAGGTTTCAGTTCAAAAGTTACAGAATTACTTAAATATATATCGCAGTAAAGTAAACAAATACCAAAACTACTCAAGAACAACTCATATCATATGTATGTATCTAACTAAAAAAACAAGTAACCAAGTGAAAAGTCACAAAAGTAGATAAGTATTAAAAAGGTTGATTGTTTACCAGTAGAAAACAGTTCCAAATATCAGTAGTAGTTGCAACCACATTGCTTAATTTGACCTACCTATTAAAAGATTTTAAGCCTAGAATAAAAAAATGATCCTTTCTATTTGAGCACCAATTAACACACCAAAATGGGACACAAAATACCAGGGGGATGATGCTTTTAATTCTCGTACAAATTGTTGATAGATAACGCCTCTGCACTGTGCAGCCATCAACCCCAACCCTAAGATCATAGCCAAGTTGTTGTCAGTGTCCCCAGGCGTATCGTTTCCCGACCAGGACGGCTTCACTCCCATCCACTACGCCGCAGCGTGCAAGGGCAGTGGTCCTTTGGAACTTCTGCTGAAGAGGTTTTTATAGTTCAAATACAGGATAGAAATAATACCAAAGCTAAGTTTGGCCTGCTAACCTTTAAGGTGATGGAAAAACACTAATCAACTACCCTGCACATTTGCCCGTTTGCGGGAAACATTAGTGTATAGGCTAGCAGAAAAGTTCAAAGCAAGTTGGCAAATGATCAGCTACTTGGAAATTACTGCCATTGTTGACTTTTTTGGTTCGTAAATGCTGAAGGTATGTTGTGATTACAATATCATTTGCCAAATTTTTCTAACCAACTCTGGAATAACTACAATGCACACAAACATTTTGATGGCTCAACACAGGTGCCAGTGCTTGACCTTTGTTCTTGCCTTTTCTTCTCCAGTGGTGTAGACGCTGAAACGCCACAAGCCAAGAAACTGGTGACCCCATTAATGATAGCTGCAAAGCATGGCCGGACTAAGAATGTTGAAGTTCTTCTCAAGAAAATAAAATCTAGTACGTTTAGCTCAGACATTGACAATATTATGAAACCCCAATTAAAACTAGACATGAACTTGCAAGAATGCTTAGCAAATATTGCTAAATTGTAAAACTAGTCAGGAGGGTGGTCCATGGGGAATGCAAGAGGAAAAGGGGACCTTGCATTACTGCCTTGTTATTAGATTTGCAAATGAACACTTCTACCAAAGTGGAGAAACTATTAAGAGAAATTATATGAATGATTGATATGTGTTCATACTCGACAGAGACTGAACAGTGATATCCTTATTATGTCAAGAGGCTCCCAGACCTGAAAGCTAAGAATTTAGGAACCTAATCCGATGCTCGATGTCATTAATTTTAAGCAGCATTATAGGTCACTTTGAAGTTGCTTTCTGTTTCGTATTTTGTACCAGTTTTGGCTTCTGACTCTAACCAGCCACAACTAAAGAGGTTTGGGGTGAACAGGATGGACAAGAACAAGCACTTTGCCATCCATTATGCTGCAGAAGGTGGACATGTGGTATGTTATGAGGGCAGTTGGTTGCCTTTAGACTTAGGTTGGTGCTGGCTCTTTGAGAATCTCTCAGGAAACTTAGGATGGAATGAGCATTTTGTCGTCTCATCGTCCAACATTTAAAATTTCAAATCAACGTTGTTGCTTTAGGTCTTTGTGTTTTTTGTGATGAAAACTGAGGGAAGAAAGAGATTTGCTGAGAAAGTTTTATTTTCTCCTTGACATTATTAATAAATCTAAAATGGGATGACTTCCAGCTTTGTTTACGTGTATGCTTTCCTATGGGGGATCGGTTGATCACGTCTCACCTCATTGTCATGGGAAAGCACTCGAGTATGTAAAGCCAGACATCATGATGTTATTGGTCTGTTGTATCCTCAACTTACGTTAAAACACGGATTCATTGTTACAAACCAGTTCGAGGCCAGTTCACCTTTAAAAATTTTGGTTAATTGTTCAAACTATAACCACTATTGTACACTGTAGAAGCAGTTAGAAGTTTTAGCAGTGGGGCAGCCATAATGAGCTGTTTTAAGCATGCCACTCACACATGGACGGTGCTGTTGGAGTGGGAAAACTTGCGGTTAACACAAAGGGTTCTACTCAATCAATTAGCACCCTCCTATTTTGTCTGCCAGACCTTGTCTGCCAGAAGAGTTCACAACACTTTACCCCAGATTCTGTATTCTGATTGACTGAGAGCCAGTCACATGGCATTTGCTGTTTTTGCTGTCTAGTTTTGCACAGCCAACATGATCAAAACATTTATATCCTTGCAGCAACCAAAATATGCCTACGGTGTATGCGTATGACCACCGGCATTTTGTGCAAATGCGTAGTCGTGTGAGTTTGTTTCTTCATTCAATTGAGACCCTGAACAATAGAGGACAATAAGGTCCCCGAGTGACAGAGGGTCCCCGATTGACAACTGTGTACAAAACATATGAGTGGTCTTCTAAAAAAGTTTAAGTACAATCAAAAAGAGGAACAATAGGGGGTCCCCAGTTGCAGGCAAATACACACTTGGGTGTGTGTGTCTGTTACGACACCCGATCCGACCACCCAAGGCTACTTAGAAGTAGGGTTGCACATCAAATACGCCACGCTCTAGGTTGGTATCACCAAGGCCTCGCCTGCCGTATGTCAGAATGGCTTGAATGGCATCATGTTCACAGCAGAAACTGCAGTCTTTTGAAAACAATGGACATCGAATTGTTTCTACTTCTATCGCCCCCGCATCCACTGGGCATTTGACTCGGGTTTGCTTGTTTATTCTTTGGACTAAGAATTTTCTTTTGAAGTAGTTGTATCAGCCCCTCAAAACCACGGATTACAATTGGTCAATTGAATGAATTAGCTGTTGTGGACACCGGCTGAAACACCTTTTGTTTTTATTGAGATTTTTGGGGGGTGTTTCGGCACCGGCCGAAACAGCTATTATTTCTCTTCAGATTTTTTCTTTTTCTTTCTTTTCTTTTTTTGGGGGGGGTCCGCATAGTGCGCCAATATTACTATATTTTTTTGGCTTTTGTGCATTGAGGAGAGAAGCATTATTTTTCTACAGATTTTTTTCCCATGTTCTTCGTTTTCAAATTCCATAGACTTGTACGCAGATTTTCCCGTCGGTAGTTTGCTATTTACCGGTACATAACCACAACACATAAGGCAAAGGTCTTTCGCGAACAATGACGTCATGATGACATCATAACGTGATTTATTATAGAAATAGGATCTTTCCCCCTAGGTTTTGTGCACGTTTTTCAACAGCCTGACTTTGGCACTGTTATCGAGCTGATGGAGTTTACTTCGAGTGCACACTCTTAGCTCACCAACTACTGAGGGTCCCAGGACATTCGCATTTGACGTCATCGGGGGTCACGTGACATAAGATTAAAGTTGCAGTTTGTCCCCTTAGGTTTCGAACACGTTTTTCTAATAAACTCTGCTTTCGATCTTAATAACATAGCTTCTACATAAGAAATGCACCTTTTCGTTTCACCCAATATACATCAAGAACACTTAGCCTCACGTAACAAATGATTGATTAATTTGGTGTACCTTTGATTTCAACAGCACAGTGTCCACAGTTTAAGATTACCAGATACCTACTGTGCATCCTATACATCCAAAAAATATTTTCCTAACTTCCAACAACTTCCGTCAACATCCATTCCCGGACTTGCTAGAGCTCTTACGCGAAGGTAACTGGAATCAGCTAATCCTTGTCGCTCATCTCCAACAGACGCAGCTGGACAGTAGGTCTTATCAGGAACTTGCTTCCAACCTTGACCTACCTACCTAACTCTACCATCTTGGTCAGGATACACGGGAAAGCGTATTTTTAACCACCAAAACCAGTTTATTCACCTCAAACTTTCGTTGAGGTTGCGACAATTTTTGCCTGGTCTTCAGCAAAAGTAGATACTCCCTGAACCAGGTCTTCTTGACAGACGACGTGGCAGAAACGTCAACTGGTTGGGCGTCAGGGGCTCCTTTTCCTTTGGGTCCAGGCTCAGACGTGTGAGTGACCTTGCATTCAAGATTGTTTCCACCTCTGTAACAAAGGTCAGCAACACCTCATCTGTGAATACACAACCATAGAGCTTCGCACGACATCACCCCTGTTTGACGTACAGCGGTCCGAAATAGTCAACGCCAAGAACTGTGAATGGAGGCCTTTCAGTTGTTACTCTGACAGTTGGAAGCTCTCCCACGAACTGCTGGCCTTGCATTGCATTTCTTCGCTTACGGTGAAAACACTTCCCAATCACACGATGGACCGTGGCTCCTCCTATCACTATCCAGTACTTATCTCGAAACAAGGACCAAGTCATCCCAACACCAGAATGACCCACCAACAAGTGACGGTGTTTGATCAAGAACGCAGTGATCACTTGCAAGGATCACTGGATGGATTACATCATATTCAAAAGGAACATTCCGAATCCTGCCACCAACATACAAAACTCTATTCTTTATCGTGGGATTGAACTTGCAAATTGCTCACTCTCGCGAGACTGGCATGGCTTTACGTCATCTTGCTCCCGATATTCTATAACCTTGAAGACCTGTGTAAAGCTCCAATGCTGTACACAGCAAATGATCCCTGTCTCAGCAGCCTGTAGCTCTTTCAAGGACAAGCCACTCCCCTTGGTTCTAGCCTCATTATTGTCAGCTCTAACTCGAGCAAACAAATACATCCTGAATCGCAGTAACCAAGCCACTGTCCACTTCAGACGAATTTCCAAGACGAATATGTACACATCATGTCGTCTATCGCCCTCTTCAGCTCTACAAAGAGAACTTGCCCCTGTTTCTTCAGCTCAGGATCTGCCTTTGACACCTCACAGAGTGTTGTAGATCACCGCGCAGCGCGACTGGAAATGCTGGCTAACGGTTTTCTCCCTACCAGAAAAATCGTGGTCCAATGAACCCGCAGTGATTCTCAGTCATCGCAGCAGCTTTAATGCCTCTGAACCATCATCGGCCGGGTTTGAACCTGTCTCCACATAAAGCCACTGTGATACTTCTGAGGAGGACTGGATCTTGGCGATACAATTTGCCACAAACGTATGAAATCTCTTGCTGTCATTCCGAATATATTGAAGCACCGATGTAGAATCAGTCCAGAATACTTTTTACTGCACTAACCACCGCCACGAGCTCCAAACGTGTAATGTTTTGCACCTCGAGTGGACATAACCCGACTTGCACCATGACGAAGGGGCAACGAACGCACCCACTTACATCCACCTTGCGAAGGTAAGTGACTACTCATAAGCACACTCCGATGCGTCTGAGAAGACATGTAGCAGGCTGTCTACCACCCCGCCAAAGCCCAAGGGCTTGAAGCACCTGTCTATCTTGCGTCTCTGCATCCTTGGCAGGTCACTTATCCACTCACACCATCGTTGATCCATCTCTGCAGGAACTTGATCATTACAGCCGATGCCACTCCATACAGGGAGCTGGCAACTGATAGTATTCCTCTCCTGCTACAGGGGTTGTCCTTCGCAACAACCTTGTACCCAAACTTGTCACTCTTATCATCCCACTGCACACCAATTGTGCGTTCTACAGGCAACTCATCCAATGCTGAATCCTTGACGCACACCGCCATCTCGCTGCAAGGTATGGCAGAGAACACCTCACGACCACTGCTGAGCTACTTCCATAAACGGAAGCTTCTTGTGGCCAGTAGATCACAAAGTTGTCCAAGACTGGTTTTACAGCTGTTTCATCAAATCATTATGACTCAGGGCTGTACAACGCAGCGCTAACGCTGCACAGCTGGGCGATGATGTTACCCCCAAAGAAGTGAACAACCATGCCGAACGCTGCTGATTCTTTGGAGTAGCCTCCGTCTCTTCACCACAGAAACCGTAAGCATCACGAAATTGTTCTCCGGGACCTTCACTCTATGAAACATAGACTCTATGTCACCAACGATAGCATAACGCTCCTTATGAAACCTTGTCAGCACACCTACCAAGTTGTTTGCCAGCATAGGACACTGCAAAAGCTTCTCATTCAGGGACGTTCCCTTGAATCTGGCAGTCGAAGACAATCCTAGCCTTTTCCTGCTTCTGTGGGTGGACAACAGGGTGGCGTGATAAATACCACAGAGCTTCCTCTCTTGCAGGTTTCTCATCTCGTGTGGCTTTCTCAGGACGTTCCTTCACCGCCTCTGCATAGCTTTTGGCCAGATAGGCATCCATGGCGGTACTATAATTCTCATATATAGTAAAATCCTTCTTACGGCGCCTCTTCATGAGCCTCAGCCTTGCCTCAGCAAGTAGTCGGTTTTTGGTAGGTGAGGTTCCCAAGCACGCCACGGAAGACCAATCTGTGTCCATCCCGCGCCATCACAAACTTCTTGATGATCCTTCTTGCCAGTTTGTCTTCAAAGGACTCAGCCACATCAGCCGCGCTGTTTTAGACTCCAAAGTCTATTTTCCAGATTCACTGAACTTGACAGTGTAGGAGATTGTTATAACCAGAAGCGTGATTCACAGTTAATCTGGCGTTCCCGCCACCTGCGGCAGTTGGTCCAGTCAAGGTCTACCCAAGCAAGGACCTCACGGCATATGGCTAATTCCAGTTCCCACGTCACTCTTCCAACTGCCAGAATACTTCTGGCACATCACTGGGATGCTGGGATTGTGGAAACTCCAGTTCCCTAAAGTGAGGTCCCTCTTGTTCATCTTCCTTCACTGGTATGTTGCAGCTTGACACTGGAAGTCTCTTTACAGTCCACAGCCTCGGCAGGCGAACACTGTCGATGCCATCGAGGCTATGCACCGTCATGTCAACCTCGAGGATAAGCTTCTGGAGGTTTTCCTCATTTACCGGCCGTGGTGAGAAAAAAAATCCGTCTGGACACCCTCCAGACCCTGTTGATTAAACAAGACGTCTATCAAACGTCGCTTCCACCATCAAGAAGAGCCCGGGTTTTTGCCTCCTCGAACCCTCACAAATACGATCCTAAGGCACACCTTTTTGGAGGCTACTCTGCTTTTACATTCCCGAGTTTTTGGCCAAGTTTGTGCTGCTACATGAGGTCGTTCGAGCTCCAGCTACAGTAGCTGTACTTGGTGGTCGACGATTCACTGTCTGGGTCTCACTTGCTTTCTGCGACAGAATCTACAGAATAGTAATTCCGATTGGGTTGAAACTTGGTAAGTTGTTGTACCGGAATTTGGTGTAGATAAAAATTGAGGTGACGTCATCATGGCGTCATCATACAATTTCATACATAAATTGAATTTTTTAAGTGTTCGCCATATCTCACTAACGCAATATGGTAAGTCGAAAATTGTTTTGTATTAGGATCTGTGGGCAATAGGTATATACACAAAATATGGAAGATTGCGTGACGTCATGATGAAAAATACGTGAAATCATGATGACGTCATCAAAACTGTGATTGTTGAAACACACTTGGTGGAAGGTCCAATTGTCATGAAACTTGCTGGGTAGATATATAATAGTACCAGTACACAAAGTCTAAAATGACGTTACAATGACGTCATCGGTTGAGTTTTTATGAGTTTTGGAATTGATTTTTTTTCGCTTATCAAATTTAAATTTTCTATTCATTCGATTGGCTTCATACCTTATGGGTGACAGACTACAACAAGACAATGTGCTTTGTCACGTTATTGTTGTGATGAAGTCATCATGGGGCATGTGATGTCATCAAAAATGTTTCAACGAACATATGGGAGGGTCCGATTTTTACGCTTTAGTTCTTGAACATTTTGCAAACGTATGTAAAAAAATTCACTGGAATTTGTTAGATTTGCCCAGTGTTCTGTTTTCAGGTGGGCGATACATGCGAAGTAGAGGCAGGCATCGCCTCTTTTGTGAGGTTATGTTTTAATCGTTTACCGTTAAATTCAAGCAACTCCCTCTTAGGTGTTATGCCCATTCACCTTACCCTTAGCTCAATGCGCCGGCTGCTAGCGAATTTTCCTTTCCCTAACGACATTGTAAAATATCAAGAGAGGGTGATGTCTCTGCGTAATGCATTTTCATGATTTCGGGGCTAACATGTACATTGTAAACTAAATAGAAGAAATGAACATGTTAAAATAAATAAGTGTGAATCAAGAAATGTACATTGTCAACAAAATCAAGAATAAATCCCGGAACAAAAATGAAAAGTAAATTTGCTTCGAACTGATGATGTACAAAAGATAATAGGCCCTAGTAACATGTTGTTTCAAATTACAACTAACAGAGAAGTATCGTTGAAATCGAATTCCAGTTTTAATCACAGTTAAACCTTTCAATATATATATATAGGTGAAAAAGCCGCTTCCATGGACAATCAGCATATCTAGTTCTTCTTTACAAAATGTGGAGGGCCTGACGTTTCGATTCCAACAGGAGCTTTCCTTTCTCAGAGGCAAAATGACACGTAGACAGGACAAACAAGCAAACGGGGAATCATCCATGTTCCGCGCTGGAATGTTCCATGAATATATTTATATATGGTTTTTTATTGATGTAGTTACATAGCAGAATCTTTGGCAAAAGTGTTATAGAACAGCTAATGACTGCTTTATCTCTTGATGCAGTAAAACGAGCCTTCCTCGTCAATTTATCGTATATTCTTTTTTCCCTAGGCTTTGCCTTGACAAAAAATAGAATTCTCAGTGGATCACCCAAACCAGCAACGGTTGTAATTGATACAGTGCTCAAACAATAGGTTACTGATTCATCTGCATATCGGTGGAATTCCAGGACTGTGTTAGAAGCCTAGTCAAACACGGAGCCGTGGTTGAAGTGAAAACATCATTCGAAAACAACAGGCTGACATCGCTCATGCTTGCTGCCGAGAGGGGACACTTTCAGCTGGCCAAAGTTCTCATTGAGGAGCTTGGAGGAGAAATTGAGAATAGAGGTTGGGATATGATCCTTATTCAATGACATAACTGAGCCTTTACTATTTTGGAATCAGATGAAATAAAAAGTCAGAATTTTGAATTTCCCCTTCCAAAAATGAATCCGTGAAAGTCTAAGCCACTTAGGTGGCTTTGAATAAGAAACTTTGAAAAACACCAGGAGGTTGCCATACTGCACACTGGTGATAAGGCCATTGCGTTGTTGGTCAGGTTTGTTAACTTTAAACACCAGACCCTGATGTCCGTCAGCGGTCTGCTTTCTGAAAATGCTGGCTTCCTCTTTTTCCTTAAACAGCTTGTGCAAGAATTAAAACAAAATTTAAACCTGGCTACAAGTCCAAATTATTTATTTCCATTTCATTGTGTAGATATAAGGGTTGTGAGGTTTACATTGTAATTTGGAAAGTTGTGAAAAAGCTAATCGTACCAACCAGATAGGTTCAAGCGCACATCCTTGATGCTGGCCTGCATGAACGGTCACTACCCAGTGGCTACTCTACTCCTGAGGAAAGGAGCTAATCCTAACGCCAAGGACTCATCAGGAAACACTCCAGTCCACTATGCTGCTGCTTATGGCTGGTGGCACTGCCTCAAACTACTCCTCAATGCTGGTGGGGACCCTACCATCTTCAATGCAGACGAGCTGGTACCACTAATTAGGCTTTTGTCATCGTAGTTAGACTCGTTAGATCAGCGCAAGAACGTGGTATAAAATTCAGATTTTGCAGCAGACTTGCGAATGTCGTCTTCATTGTCATTATCATTCAATATTTGGCTCTTACGTGTAGGGTGGATATGAATTATTAATTAAACTAAAATAAAATAAACGCACCTTTCGTTAATTCGTACATTTCTCAGGCTGGATTTATTTTGGGTTACTCAATTTAGTAAGGAGTTGGGCTTAGGATTTGGCAAGTCACTATCAGGAATGCCTGGTTTCCATGTACATGTGTGTGTAACCAGACGCAGGGAGTACCTAATCAGTTTTCGATAACACACGATCATGTGGAAGAGCTTTATCGCGACTGACGCTATCAGGGATGGCTGCAGTCGATGTAAACACCGGTTTGTGAACACAACTCATGTTTTATTCACTATGTACGATGCTTCCTGAAACCGCTTTCCTTTCTTAAATACTCTAAAGTCAGAAGAAACCTGACTATGTTGCCATAATTACAAGTGTAGCCTCAACGTCAAACTTTGGGCAAAGAAGGTGACAATATTTTTTATTCATCATTTCGAACTACCCATCGGAGCATAGGAATGGTAATTTACAATTTGCCCCTTTTGTATTATCTTTGTTCCCACACAAATTAAGTTTTAGAATATTTTTACAGGAATAAAATCGCTTTCAATTCTAGATGACCAGTTGGTTAATAAGGCTTGTTTGCAGAAACCAAACGTAGATGTCATTCTCCTCTGTTCCAGAGGTATGTTACTCCGATAACTCCCCTGGGTGCTGCCTACATGAAGGGCCACTTTGGGTGCGCAGAGCTCCTGCTGAGCCACCCCAAGGTAAACGTTAACTGCAGAAACAGGGAGTGCGAGACGCTGCTGCTGACGGCATGCTCAAAGTTCACAACTGAGGAGTCAATTAGACAGCTGAAGGTGTTCGTTGAGAATGGAGCTGACATCCACGCATCAGACCTGCGCGGAAGGACACCTTTCAGAGTTGCATTAAAAAATGTAAGGATCAAAAGGTTTTTCATTTGACCCTGCCATTTGTGGATCCCGGGGGCCAGAGTCGCATTTTTTTTTCATTTTTTGAAATATGAGTAAAAGATGATTCTTTCGGGACGAATCCTTTCATTTCCACAGCATGGAAAAGGTTCGTAAATTAGCCTCAAATCTGAGAAAGGCCATGAAATGTTAAATGAAGAACTTTCCAACATTTCTTGGCTTCCCCGAGAATTATTCCAACCCCTTTTCCTGTAAGAAAAAAAAAGATCTGTAGAATCTATTCTGTAAACTTCCATTGTTTTTATCCTTACTCCGTAATCGTATGATATTCTTTGATCAGGGTCGGACCGACTTGCTGAAGTTTTTTCTCAGTAAGAATGCCAACGTACCATTGGATGGAGACACAGCTGGTGATAATCCACTGCACTTGATTGCGAGGTCTTGCCTTGACAACTGCAATGAAATCTTGGAAATGCTAATTGAGAACGTGAGTCCAATCGCCCTCCTCTCGCCACATTTCAGGAACTGCTTCATAGGCAACAAAATACTATAGTTTAGCAACTTTTGATAACATGCATAAAATAAAAGTAGCACGCACCAGTCAGCAGCAATATGCATTACATGGACTCGTGGCTGGTAACGTGTAACATAAGGAAGCATCAAACGATAAGCATGAGACATCACACACGGCAGCAAATAATATTTTAGAAAGAGCAACCTAAGCCAAAATGGGACAGACATAGTGAGTAGCCAGCAGTTATCAAGACATGGGAAACAATAATTGCAATTCAGAGACGTGTGTGATTTAAGCACTCCACAATCAAAAAGGGGATGAGAGTTTAATATAAGACTCACTTAACAATCATACATTAAGAAATGGGCCAATTCTGACTCAAAATATGATGATGCACATTGAAGAGAAATAGGATGCTGCGTTGCTCTTAGCTGAAGAGTGGGGGACTAAAGAGTACTCTCTCTGGGCATACATTGCTGCTGGAGTCTGGTTGGTCCGTTGATAGGGCTTGACTCAAACCTATACGACCCCCTGCTTACCAATGCAGACATCTTAATCATTCGACCATCGATTTTGCCGAGGTTAGCTGGCTGATCAGAGTCGGATGGAGCAGCGCCAAGTGGGTACAGCAAACCAGTTCAAAATGTGCTTTGCGTTAAGGATTTCAATAAAGGGTTCTGTCGTGACAGCTAATCATTCAAACCATTTGTGGGCAAAGGATTCCCCCGGTTTGCCTTTTTGTGTAAGGAATGCAACCATGATGTATACGTCACTTGGAACCCAAGCCAAACGCCTTAAAATGACCTCTTTTTGGTTATTTCCTGTGATGATCACTTACCAAGTATTATTAATGCCTTGTTGAGCTAATTTAAAATGATGTGTTTTTTTCAGTTAAAAAGATTAATTAGTGTTTGACACTTGTAAGGTAGATCACACAGCCGTTTATGCAACAGCCAGCGTGGAAGTGTTATGTGCAAAAGTCTATACATATCCGTAAGGAAGCTTCCAATGCAGGAAATCGTTTTGTCACACCTTATTACCGAAGGTTCATAATGGATTCGAGCGAAACCTATGATGTCCGGATTTGTTTTCACCAGCCCTCGGACATCACTGAAAACAGAGTGTTTGTAACATACGTCAGTGACGGCAATCTAACAGATATACATGCACATGATATTTTATCTTGTTCAGGAAAAGACAAAATTCTCTAAAGGTGACAAGCAAACCCAGAGGAGCCAGGGGGCAAAGGTTACAACTTTGAAGGAAGCCGCCCAGATGAAAAACAACAACGGATGCACCCCATTACTGGAATGCATTATTGAACACAAATTGCTCTGGGTAGTATGCTTACACTATGTGATGATTTCTAAACGAGCACAGGCAAATCCTACAGTATGTCCCAAGAAAGTGTCCCTCTGTTAATATTGTTGTCGACCCACACAGTAAATTTCAAAAATTTTAGTTGTCGTGTGTAGATAGTCCTGGTCCTTCGCTCAGAACTCTATGATGAGTTTTCCTCAATTTCCTTCAAACTTCAGTGCACAATATTCGATTGAAATGGTTTCAAAAGTTGTTTACAGACTTTTGTATCTAGGATGAATGATTAAGGTTATTGTCAGTAGCAACTAATTGGTGAGACCTTTGCAGCAGATATGGCAGCTAGTGTTAATATGCAGTTTGATCCCCCCCCCAGAAACGCAGTTTTGAGTACCACGACACTCAGTGTCCCAGACGGCATGCTGTAGTGAAGGTAACTAATTTTGCGTAAAATATATTTTGAGTGTGACCTATGAATAGACTTTTATCCATTTCCTTAAGTGTAGGCATGGTATGGCCCAACTCAAATGAGAGACTAGGCAAGCCCTTTTTTCAGAATTCTGTCATCATACGTAAATCTTTATTTGTTTCAACTTACTGGTTCCCTCGGCAATTAATAAGTTATTCTGTTTGAAACAACCTTGCAAACGTCCACTTGGTTTGTTTCATATAAACTAAAAATTTGCATTACCGTACTCGTAGTTCTAACATATTTTACCTTGTTTCCGATGTTTCAAAGGTTTATAACAGTTTAACATTTTTCCTTCGTTTTTCTTCGGCTCATGCTCTCCCTCTTCTGGCAATTTGTTCCTGGCTCTGTTTTGAATACATTAACCTTTGAAACTTCACAATGTACAATTTATTTTTTATTTATCATGTCTCCTTACACTGCGTGTAGGCACTGATCGATCTTTGTGAGTCAGATATCAACGCACTTGTGGGAAAGGACTTTAAAAAGGTGCCACGTAAGTACAGAAACATTATATAACACACAGGCAAGTGTATCTATCTAATGAATGAAATGTTTGGGCCAAAATTGGTTCTGCTCTGGATTGTGTTCAGCATTTAGTTAGCGCTTCCAAGTTTCATGTGAAAAGGTATGAAATAACCCTAACTGCCGCTCCAGAGCTATCGAAATATTTTTACTAGGTTCTTCGAGTAGTTCTGAAATGAGAATAGGTTTGTTTTATACTAAAGCTCAAATTGTGACAAGTTACCATGCTGGAAGGTACACGTAGTCTTGCATTTGAGGCTGTGTTCAACCAACTGATCTCTGTGTACTGACTAGATTGTACCCTCGCACATCTTTGTGCACATAAATGTCCTTGCAACTGGATTTTTTCTTTTGCATCCAAAGATAACTGCCGCCATATTCGATGCTGCGTCATGCACTCTATTTTACCAAGTTTTTAAGCAATTGCAAAGTAATTTGAAGGATAAAGATATTTACCTTAATACCCATAATTTGAAGTCCATGCAATTCAATTCAAAAGAGTCATGATGCTGCGACCGCCAAACTTAAAGATCTCAAGACTTCCGCAACATTCCAACACCTTTTGCATAATATGACTTCAACCCTAGTCTGGTTGTGCTTCCCATTCGGGGCTGATTTGTTTCATGTGGATCCAGAGTGAAATATGTACCGTGATCCATGTTGGATCACTGACACCAGAACACACCTAATCGATGGAGCAAATCAGTGTTAGGATGACTGATCGAGATCCAGATCCGCGTGAATAAACAGAGAGATCAGTGATTACACCCAATTTATTTTTGGCAATAAATTCGCAGGAAACTCTTGTAGTCTACATATCCTTGCGTCCAAGAAACCGTGTGAGGTCTTGTCAACGATCATGGCGATGAAGCCCAAACTGGATGTAGTGAATGCCGAAGGATACACGCCCTTGTTGTGTGCCATCGTCGCTGAGCAAGCTCAAAATGCGAAAATGCTTGTAAGTAAATATAATAGCTGATTTTCAGACTTACATCGTGAGAACAGAATGAAGCATAAAGAATTGATTCAAGTAAATTGGTGAGAGAGTTGTAAATTGTGTGAAAATTAGCAGAATTCGTGTGGCTCTCCTAAATATGACCAAAACTAGGGTGTAACAAATAAAAGAGGAATTTGTGCCCAATATACAGGGTGTATAAAAAAGTATACAGTCAGAAAATTAACTGCAAAATAAAAATGCAAACATTTTTCGAAAATCTCTTCTACATGAGTTGATTAGATTATCATGCTGTTATTAAACTTGTGATCATTAACAGATTTTCATGCCTAAGTGACCAGGAGCTATTTTCCTAAATCGCTCAAAAATTGGCTTGCACAAACACTTGCTTTGTTCAGAATTGGATCAAAAGTCTAGAAAAGCAAGTATGGTGTGCGCTTCAATAAATATCATTTACTTCACCCATTTGGTCCTCCACGTGACCACCATTTCGTTCCACACAGATTCGTGACCTTCTCAGCATGTTGGAGACAGCACACGTGATCATTGCTCTGTTTTGCCTGAGAGCATTGATCTCGGCAGTGATCCTTCCATCAAGGTCATCCAGGTCCGCTGGTGGAGAAACAAAAACCTTGGACTTCAAATTTCCCCACAGGAAAAAGTCCAATGGCGTGAGGTCGGGTGATCTCGGTGGCCATTCCACAGGCCGAGGCAATGCAATCACACGGTTATCAAACAGTTCTGTCATGCGCTCTTTAACCGTTCTCCTCCTGTGTGGTGGAGCACCATCCTGAAATGATCCTGTGCCCACCAATCCCTTTGAAACTACCCATTTCTTTGGCGACGATAACGAGGCATTCGATCAATGACTGAAATGATGTTGGCATTGATCGTTTGGAAGTTCATGTCACCGTTCATGTTGTTGCGACAGACGAATTGACCAATAATGCTCCCGTTCCCAATCGAGCCCACCCAAACTGTCAGCTTTGTCATTACTGCGTTGATAGTCAAACGTCGAAGTCGAAAAAAACCTTCCAATATACTCCAAGGAACAAAGCACGTACCATACTTGCGTTTCTGGACTTTTTATCCAATTCTGAACAAAGCTAGTGTTTCCGCAGGCCACTTTTTGAGTGATTTAGGAAAATAGCTCCTGGTCACTCAGGCATGGAAATCTGTTAATGATCACAACTTTAATAACAGCATGATACTCTAATCAACCCATGTAGAAGAAGAGATTTTGCAGTTAATTGTCTGACTGTATTATTTTCTTGATACACCCTGTATATCTTGATACTGAGCTCATCGCATGGTACAGCAAGATACGAATCAAAACTTTTGCAGTTATGATTGACGTGTGCTGTATTATTGTATCTGCAATCAGTGGCAACTTTGTAAAGCATTTAAATTTCAATTTAGCCCTACATGGATTCAATTCCTAGCCTGGGACATGCATTGGTAGATGTGTTCAGTGGTTCTCTCATGTGCCACGTGCCGCATTGTTGTTTAATGTCTTATTGTACAGCACATTAAAACAGAAATATATGCAATTGCACTTCATATATGAATAGGTTGAAATAAAATAGGCTAAAGTGTTCATTAATCATTGTGAATGGATTGTGCATGTTCAGTGAATGTTGTTTTACAGATATTTGAATTTTTTTGTTTTTTTTTTTGTTAAAGCTCCTGTTTCTTATAAATCTTTCTGGCGGTAACTTTTGGAAGCTGAGAAAAATCAACTAATACTCTGAGAAATTGGGCTTGCAATGCCTGACATGAGCTCTTTTGTTCAAATAGGTTTTTCATTTATCACGATTAGTTGAGTTGCATTCTGTGCCTGAATAGGAGAGTAGGCCTACCTTTTCTTCGACTGTGTTAACATTTGATGTATATTTAGATCAGGAAAACATAAAATCAAAGTAAGCTAGGTTGGTATTTCAATAAGGCAAAGTCATTTTTGAACTAAGCAGGCATAGAAGCCACCTCATGGCCGACTTGGGCTGATAGGGCAGACTTGGTATTGCATATTGCCGTTCTTGAATGACTTCTAATGTGTTTTGTGTTGTTTGCTGTTTTGAATACTGAGCTGGCTCTGTTGGCGAATGTACCTTTCAGATAACTGGTAAAGTAGACGTGTTTTCATTTACTTTCAGCTTGCTGCAGGTGCTGACCCTAACTGTTCAGACAAGCACAATGCCCTGCTTCTTGCAATTAAGTAAGTACATACATCAGCCGCATGTACAATGACATTGACGAGAGTCATTTATCTTTGCAGTAAAGCTATACAACTACTCAATTTTAGTGTTCACATCGAGAAGTCTTTACAGCTGTTTATACTTGGAAGTGGAAGGTGTGCCAGTAAATGCAACGATAGGTTTTCGTGAAGTTAGAAAAGAGCTTATAAATGTACAGTAGTTATTATGGTAAAGTGTCATTTTTACTTCACTTGTATATGGAATAGGGGCTGTTGCCATTTGTATCAGTAGCTCTGTACCTTTCTGAGATTTTAATACGTATTCTTCGTTGTTAGTAAAATGCTTCTGAAGTCATTGAAGCTGTGGCGGGTCTTTTTTCTTTCTTCTGCAGAAACAACCTGTTGTGTATTGTACCAGACCTCCTCGCTAAAGGTGCTGACATCCGTGGATCCGTGTTTGAGAACAAACAACCCAGCATTATGCATTTCATTCCAGTCTACATCGGTAAGTGCCATTAATTTTTCCCACAAGGGCTCTCAGCATGAGAATTACTCTCTGTAGCTCGAATGGTTACAAGTTTGAATAACCAGAGTACATTTGCAACACTGTCCTACCCCAATATGTCTGATTACCGTACTTGAGCCATTTTCTTGTAATCCCATCATAACTCACATTTTGCCATTGGTTGTTACTCCCTGTGTTCACCGTACCTGCCATCTGGTGCACAAATTTTAGGTCAGAAGCTCGCTTTGTACTTAGCTATGAAAAAAGCTCTTAATGATAAGCAATTTTACCATGCCCTAGGGCCTGACTCCCGAATTGTTGAAAAGATACCTGTAGCTTAAATTCGAAATGTAAAATACGACTCAGTTAAACTGTAGTTGTCACTCGCACGTGTCCCAGGCTGAAACTCCCATGCAGTTAATTTTCTTAGATCAAACTAAATTGAAAACCCCAAACTTCAACCAGGAATCTCAGTAATGAAGAAGGCATAGCCTCGCTAGTCGCTGTTGCCGAGCACGTCCCACAGTAGTAGTTGAACATGAAATGTTCCAGTTGATGTTGGCACCATGGCAAAATTACCATGAGGCTTGGGGTCAACTACAAACAGTCAGGTCCAATGTGTGGAGTATTTGAAGTTTTACAAAAGAAATTTATGAGTGTGCCCCCCAGCCACCCATCCGCCCTAGTGCTGGCTATAGAAATTCCACGTTTTGTACACTGGATAGAAGGACACAATAAACACTTCCCTCCCTCAAAACTACAGGGTGTCCCAGGAAAAACCAAACCATGACGAAAGGGGTTAATATGCCAAAACCATGAGACATGATTATAATGTATAAGGATCTCCGAAAAGTAAAAGAATTAATGGTGCAAATGATTTGTTTCTAAACTGGGCTCAGAACAGAAATTAGGAACATGTATTGGATCCGATTATTGAACATATTTCTAGGAAAGACAAACATTTATGGTAAAAAATTGTGTGTCTTATTTGAGCCCGGCGAAGATACTGCGAAAACTAAGGTTAGCACATGAGAACTAAGGGGCGAGGAACAAGGCTACCAGACGATGACAGATCTGCGTAGAGAAAAATTACAAAATTCTTATGTATTATAATTGTAAAGTTAAGCAATTCTGGAAATGTACATTGGAAGAGGGTAACCACTCCATAAAAAATTCAAATGTATGGAAAACAGTAGAGTACATATATAAAACAGTGTGTGTTTCACAGGATGGTAGCGTGCACTTAAAACACATCTCTCAACCACTGATGACTTCAGTCTACAATACTAAACATGTTCCGTTGAACAGAAATCTCATGTTACGGGGAATCCTTTCGTACATCAAAATGAAGACACATTATAATGCAATATAATACACACGTCGCCCATAATTTCTTAATTTGAATAACAAAATTTACATTTAAGCTTTGTACCTGCCAGAAGATTAGTGAGGGGGGATCTACAGGCTACAGCATTCCTGGCTTCTTATCGGCAGCAACGGTATTATGCTCCTAACTGACAAATATATCCAACGTGTCCAAACGATCTGTCTTTATGATAAAAACTATGTTCAGACTGTTCAAATTCCCGTCACAATGTGATTTGACCGTTAAAGAACGTTGCAAAAAAGACTGACCAAAAGAAAAAAAACACTATCATTCAATGCATGCAATTGACCTATTCTTGCTTTACAACAATCAAAATTACATATGGAAGATATCTAAAAATTTCCTTACCAGAATGAAGTCCCGCACTACTAAATTTCCGTCGGCTACAACCACCGGTCAGGACTAGATGCAGCAATAGCTTTTACTTCAGAAAAACGACCAAGGAGGAAAGCAATGTGGCTATAAACTAAGTAAACGCAAAAAACGAAGAGATAACAGCATTCTGTGTGACTCCTCTCACGATGCCATGCGCAGAAATGGCCGTCTTGAATTGGGCGCTGCACCACGCCCTAACCTGCGCATGCTTGGCTAGGCATCGACAAAAGAGGGATCCCAATACCACGCTTTAAGCGTCAATCTATGCACTTCTGCGTTTGAAAACGAGGCTGTGTGTGCCAGCTTCAATTTTTTATACGATCAGACGATTGGAAGTAAGGAGTCAAGAAACAAAATACAAAAAAGTATGTTAAATTCAGACTTTTCAGGCTGGAAATTTTTGTGGAAGAGTCTTTCAGGAAAAAATAACGGCAATTTACCGCAAAATAACGTACTTGCGAACCGGATACTGCATGTACTGTGTCGACTCAGCGGGCGCGCGCGACGAAGTCCAACACAGACAGCCTCAGTTTCGAAGCAGATATGCTCAGACTGGGCTAACGTGAGATCCCGCTGTACACAATTTGCCCAGGCTATAAAAGAAAGAAATTCCTATTAAATGTGGGGAAGGACATGTACGTGTTAACCAAATTAATTCGCAGTACGTGAAATTCGGTTGGTTACATTATGAGAAGGAATAAAACTGAGTGCAAGAGAAAATCAGTGACTGGTGGCAGAATATTCGGAACCTAGGTAATTTTTATGGAGGGTTCGGGTAGAACAAGTCGTCATAGATTACTGTTTTGTACTGAATTTCTGGAGTTGCTCACTGTAGAAATCATCAAATCATTCAGCATTTGTCATACTTTACAACTTCGTGCCGCTCTCGTACATAATGTTCATCTGAAGAGAGCATGCATCTTTTCTTAATTCTCAAGAGGACTCTGAGGCCCAAGTCTCTGTAGCCGAACAGCTTGTTTCAGCAGGAGCTTCTCTGCATACGATGGATGACCAAATGAGGAC